TGTTTGAAGTTTTAGAATCCAGACTGGACCTGAATTCAAACTTCTTCTCAATAGTAAGGAATAAATGAGATGAGAATAAATTTTCCTGGAGGATGTGGAAAGCAATTAAGAAAAAACAAGACAGTGGGGGAACAATGAGAGTTTGACATACAGAATGTGAATTTTAGCTTTGAGTTGTCAGTTCACAAAATTTTTATGTGTTTTTTGTGGTGCTGGGAATTGGCTCAAGGCTTTGCACGGGCTTAGCAGGCTCTCTGCCACTTAGCTGCGTCCCCCGGCTGCTAGACTTCCATGTAGATGCTGTGGTCATATGCTGATGTTCCAAAATGGGGAGAAGAGTCAGCCCTGAGGGATGAGGTGACATAATCAGAGGAACATTTGGAAACAGCGACTTGGATAATCGCTGTGACAGATTGGAAGATTGGAAGATGGCATTGTGGATTGAACCTGGTACCTTTGCACTGAGCTACATCCCCAGCCCATTTTTATTTTTTATTTTGAGAAAGGGTCTAAGTTCTAAATTGCCCATGCAGAGCTTGAATTTGCAGTCTTCCTGCCTCAGCTGGGATGCTGCCTGTGCTGCCAGGCCTGGCTCCTCTGAAGTTTTGATAAAGGAATCTAAGTGATCAGGGAGTCTGTGATAGGAGGATAAATCAGCAAAGGACCTGTATCTGACACCTGCAAAGGGATGACCTGAGGTCAATTTCTCTGAGTGATCAATACTATAGCCCTGTTGTCTGTAGGAAGCAAGAGATGAAGGTGATGTGGTGAAAAGTTAGGAGCTCTCTTTGTTTAAAATTCTTTTTTGTTTCTGGTTTATTGAGTCAGGGTCTTGCTATGTGGTTCAGGCTGGCCTTGAACTATGTTGTCCATGCCCGCCTCAAACTGGCAGCATTGTCTTGCCTCAGCCTCCTGAGTGCTGGGATTATAGGCATGTGCTACTTTGTGAGATCTTGTCTCAAAAAAAAATTGTATTTTTGGTGGTGTGTACCATTTAACAATGATATTTCCCTTTTACATGGACCACCAAAGGAATGCTGTTAGCAAACAAGGGCTTTTTTAATTCAGTGGATGTTGATGACTTTTTTTTTTTTTTTTTGGATTGAACTACATCTTCAGCCCTTTTTGATTTTTTGAGGCAGGGTCTCACCAAGTCACAAAGTTTTTCAGACTGGGCTTGAACTTACTGACCTCCTATCTCAGCCTCCCAGAATGGTGCTGCTGGTATTAGAGGCTTGTGCCACAGCGCTACTGATGCTGATGACTACGACTACTACTAAAGGGAAATGCATGATCACCCCAACTTCCCCACTAAAGCAGCTTCGTTTTATGCTTTCTGTATCCACAGAAGTATCTGTGTGTCCAAGAGTCCAAGGACATCCAGGTGTCCAACTTTTCTTTTTTCTGTTTGTCTAGCTTTTTTTTTTTCTTGAGACGGGGTCTCACTATGCAGTTCAGGCTGGCCTTGAGCTCACTTTGTAGCTCAGGCTGGTCTTGAACTCGGAATGATCCTCCTACCCCAGCCTCCCGAGTGTTGGGATTACAGGCATGAGCCACCACACCCGGCTGTGTGTCCAGCTTTTCAGTGTACACTCAGCTGCCTGCATTTTATCACTGGATTAGGTCTTGCCTGTAGCCCGTGTTATTTTATCTTCCATATCTGTGGTTCTGACAAGTGCTGCCTGCATCCTTAAGTGTTGTGACCTTCAAGTATATAAATCATTCACTAATTTTACAGTTGTTTATTGTGTGCCTGCTATGTATTGTTATAATGACTGTGTCATTATGGTCACATTGCTTTGTTTTGTTTTGTTTTTTGGTACTAGGAATCAAACTCACAACCTTGCACTTGCCAAGCAGGTGCTTAAGCCACTGAGCTAAATCCCCAGCCCTATATTCACATTGCTGAATGTAAACTGTAATAATAAGGTGAGTTGCTAAGTTTGGCTGTATCTGAAAGTGTCTCCAAATAAATAATTTAAGCCAAACAGACTTTTTTTTTTTTTTTTCACATAAAAGTGAACCAGTATGGCAGTTCTGGGCACAAAGTTCTAGGGACCTGCCTGTATTCTGCCAGTATCCTGGGTGTTACCCAAATGTACCTCACCCAGATGACTCACTCCTGCTCCCACAGCGAGCCGCAGGAAGTGGGAAATGCCTGACCTGAAAGTTGCTTATTTCTCCTCCAGTCACTTTTTACTGGTCAGAACATAGTCTCATGGTCATATCCAGCTACAAGGTTGAGTTGGAACTGTGTTTCTTTTGCACAGTTATATGCCCAGCTGAATCTCCACTGCATAGCAGGAGGGAGAAATGAGAGAGAGTCATCTCTGCCAGAGGTAGAACTTTGTATTATACTTCTTCAAGTATTGCACAGTACTTAGCACTGTGCTTTATCCATAAAGTCTGAATACTTTTTATTAGTTCTTTCATATAAAAGCCTGGAAGTCTTGCATTTATCTCCTGTGGTGGCAATATGAACCCTAAAATTATGCATACATTCTTTCTATCCTGGCTACAGTGGGAGGCAGTTTACTGGTATACATTCATTACTGGGCTAGCATGACATTTAACTTACATGTTTTCCAGTAGTCTGCAGAAAATTAAAAAATGAGGGGAACCCTTTGGTCTGTGGTACCACAAGTCTAAAAGGGAGCTGTGATTCCTGTAGCACAAAGGGAAGGGAATAGCAGTGAGGCCGGTTTGTCTGCTTTGTCTCCTGCGAACTTTGCAGCCTACAGGGGTTCTCCGACAGAAGTCTTTTTTTTTTTTTTTTTTTTTTTTGTCTTTTTCAGTACCAGGGATCGAACTCACAACTGCCTGCTTGCAAGACAGGCACTTATGCTGCTGAGCTAAATCCCCAGCCCCTCTGACAGAAGTCTTTTAGGAGCCATAGTTGTGATTTTGGCCATACTTCCTTTTCTCTGCTATGCTTTACTTAGAATGTCCCCTTAAATGTAAATTGATTTACTGTTTCCTAAACTTAACCTTCCGTGAGCAGTGATCTTTAAACTGGCTTGGAATTTTCTAATACACACATCAGAGACATGAATGTTAAATGAAAGCTGTCTTTATGAGTACTTAAAAACATCTTGATCATGCCATGCTCAGAGAAGTGGTGCTTTGACCCACCCCCTAGGTCATACTGGTAGTTTTTGAAAATTCCCATAAATCCACAGTTACTAACAAAGTGGCTGAGAATTTGTATTTCAGATCTGGTGGGGAAAGTACTACTAGTTAGTGCTTATTTTCAAACTATAAACTTTGCTTCGAGATAAGATCTCTCTATGTAGTTCGGGCTGGTCTTAAACTCACTGTGGAGGACAGGCTGGGGTGTTAAACCCTTGTCAATCTTCCTGCCTTAGCCTCCTAGTGCTGGAATTATAGGCATGCATTGCTACACCCAGCAGCTCCTGAAATTCTGATTTAATTATTAGCCTGCTGAAGAGCTTTTCCAGTTTATCTCCAAGACCTATTGGGTAAGATGCTAAATAAACTTTTGTTAAGCTGTAGTTTCATTTTATTTCTCTTATTTTTCTGTTATTTTTATTAGTACAGGTTTGTATTACACAATGATTATATTCCTTGTGGGGAGAGTTATATGTGTACATAACATTTTAATTCTTTTTTTTTTTTTTTTTTGTCTTTTTTGTTTTTATCGGTACCAGGGATCGAACTCACGACTGCCTGCTTGCAAGGCAGGCGCTTATGCCGCTGAGCTAAATCCCCAGCCCCAATTCTTTTTTTTTTAATCTCCAGTTTCCTCATTTAAAAAAATAGGTCTCACTGGGTACAGTGGTGCATATGTGTAATCCCAGAAATATGGGAGGGTGAGGCTGGAAGAATTTAAGTTTGAGCCCAGGCTGGGAAACTTGGCAATTTAATGAGACCCTGTTTCAAAAAAAAAAAAAGCATTATTTATTTCATAGATTTGTTCGAGGATTAAATATGTGTAAAAAGCTTGGTAATGTGAGATAGTTCTCTACGGGTGATGGACATTTTGTGTTACACTCATGGACAGTTTTGATGTGAGCATTGTTGAATATGTCTTTTGGTGATTGTATGTATTCATACCTCATACATTGTGTACATATCTAGGAGTAGAACTACTGGATCACAGGTATGATTAATTTTTGGTGGGGGGACACCAGGGATCAAACTCACCACCTTGCGCTTGCCAAGGAGGTGCTTACACCACTGAGTTAAATCCATAGCCTGTTTAATTTTAATATATACTGCCAACTAGTTTTCCAAAGTGCCTATACTGTGTTATAGGCTCCCATCAGAAAGCATGAGAATTTGTTAGAGGTATCAGTGCATAACTGGCTGGCTCCAGGGCATGATGGAAGGGGTGGGTAGAGGGAAGCTGCTTACCTCATGGCATCTGGGAAGCACAGTGAGTCCAGGAGGAGCAGGGAGGGAGAGCTAATCTTTGCTTACAGTGACCTCCCTCTTCTGACCAGCTCCACCTCTTAGTAGCCAGTCAGGGGAAATTCCAGTCCTCCTCCCCGCCACTTTGAGATGGGGTCTCCCTGTGTAGTTCAGGCTGGCCTGAACTCACTGTGTAGCCCAGGATTACCTTGAGTTTATGGTGATCCTCTTGCCTCAGCCTCCTGAGTGCTGGAATTACAGGTTTTCATCACCATGTCTGGCCCCAGCTCTTCTTGCTAAGTTACCCAGGTTGGAACTTCGGGTTCTTATCTTTTGGCTCCCAAATATGTTGGGTTTACAGGCATGTTTCACCACACTTAACTGAACTTTCTTAATTTTTTTTTTTTTTTTTTGTACCAGGGATGGAACTCACTATCTTGTGCTTGCTAGGCAGGTACTTACATTGCTGAGCTAAATCCTAGCCCTTGAACTTTCTTAATTTTAAATAAATCAAAATTGCCATCTTTTTTCTGTCTGCAGTTAATTGTACCATTTACGAAATTTTTGCTCTGTTGATATTAAAAAAACTATGGATCTATTTGAAACTATTTTTCTCTACATTAATATAGGTGATGCCATGGAGAGCGGAAGGCCTGGGCCAGTACAAGTCGTTTTGGTTCACAAAGACCAACATTCCTTTGAGCTAGAAGAGAAAGCCCTGGCCAGCATCCTCCTCCAGGACCACATCCGAGACCTCGATGTAGTGGTGGTGTCTGTGGCTGGTGCCTTCCGCAAGGGCAAGTCCTTTATTCTGGACTTCATGCTTCGGTATTTATATTCTCAGGTAAGGAAGAACTAATTCACTTGAAGGAAGAAGATGAGACATCTTTATGCAAAGTAAGCTCATGAATTATCCTTACTGAATAAAATTATGTAAATTTAATGTAACAAGGGGCCTAAAGGTCGTACAGCTCAGTAGTTCAGTACTTGCTTAGCACAGGTTTGATTCCCAGCACATACGCAAACAGTTTTCATGGAAATCTCTTATTTCTTCTGTAGAAGGAAGGCGGTCATTCAAATTGGTTGGGTGACCCAGAAGAACCATTAACAGGATTTTCATGGAGAGGAGGTTCTGACCCAGAAACTACTGGGATTCAGATCTGGAGTGAAGTTTTCACTGTGGAAAAGCCAGGTGGGAAGAAGGTAAGGATGAAAAGACTTTTCGTACACGCTAGACTGAGCAATTCTTTAGATGTTAGCCAAAATAGAGTTTACTACAACTGTTTTATTTATTTATTTTTGTCTTTTTATCGGTACCAGGGATCGAACTCACGACTGCCTGCTTGCAAGGCAGGCACTTATGCCGCTAAGCTAAATCCCCAGCCCCTATTTTTTTAATACTCAAAGAGATTTTAGCTTCGACTTGTATGGCTTAAAAAGCAGAGAATTTAGACTGAGGATTTAGCTCAGTGGCATAAGCACCTGCTGGGCAAGTGTGAGGTGGTTAGTTTGATCCCCAGCACCAAAAAAACCCAATAAAACAAACAAAAAAACAGCTAAACTTTAAAAAAAAAGATAGAGAATTCTTTTCATTTTCTTTTATTTTTCAATTAAAAATCAGCATGCAGCTGGGTGTGGTGGCTCACGCCTGTAATCCCAGCACTCAGGAGGTTGAGGCAGGAGGATCCTTACGAGTTTGAGACCAGCCTGGGCTACAAAGTACACTCAGGGCCAGCCTGAACTGCATAGAGAGCCTGTTTCAAAAAAAAAAATCAACATTCTTTATATATCTGGTTTATGTTTTTAAATTATGTGTTAAGCATATAAATACATTTTATACATTTCCTTACTGGTAGACATTTTTTATTGCTTTTTTTTTTTTGACAGTGTGTGGGAGGAAAAGCCGGATCTGAACCGTGGGTCTTAGCAGTGTCCTACATCCTCAGCCCTTTTTTTATTTATTTAATTTATATTTATATTTATCTATTTATTTATTGGTATTGGGGATCGAACTTACAACCTTGTGCTTGCCAGGCAAGCATTTTGCGTTGAGTTAAATTCCCAGCTTCCTCAGCCCCCTCCTTTTTTAAAATTTAATTTTTTTGGTACCGGAAATTGAATTTGGGACTTTTGCCAAGCAAGCACTTATGCCACTGAGCTGTATCCCTGGCCCAAATTTTATTTTTTAAAGCAGTCTTGTTAAGTTGTCCAGGCTGGGCTTGAATTTGTAATCTTCCTGCCTCAACTGCTGGAGTGCTTGGGTTATAGGCATCTGCCTTACTAACCTGGCTTCCTTTCCTTTTTTTAAAAATCATTCTTATTACAGTGGACACCTGGATAAATGTCTGCTTGAGTAAATGTGCAATTGTATCTTTAGGCCATAGCTTTTAAAACTATATTTGTGACTTATTATGAGTACAGAAATCAATCTTGGCTTGTGACTAGGATTTTAAAAAGGAAAGACTAGGATGGAATTAAAAATTAATTAGAATAAGTTGGAATGGTGGTGGACGCCTGTAGTCTCAGCACTGGCCCACTTACAGCTATATCCTCAGCCCTACCTAATACTTTTTGATTATAATCTACCCACCATGTGTGAAGTGGGTCTCATGATTTTGATTTGCATTTGTATTTCCCTGGTGATATGCATCTTTCCTATGCTTATCGGCCATTTGAATATCTTCTTGGGAGAAATGTTAATTCAAATCAAGTTCATATTTTAGTTATCTTTTTATTTCTTAAGAAGATGTTTTCTGGTAGTACTGAGGACTGAACCCAGATTCAATCGTGGTTGCTAGGTATATGTTCTGCCACTGAGCTACAATTTGAGCCTGTTAAATATTACTTTTATTTTGAGACAGCTCTGATGAGTGGCCCTTAACATGAGACCTTCCTGCCTCAGCTTCTGACTAACTGGGATTATGGATGTGTAGCACCACATCTGTCATGTGTCTTTGAGTTGTAGAATTTCATGCTGCATTCCAGATACTTGACATTTCTCTCATTTGGTGGGCTGCCTTTTTACTTTCTTGATGGTGTCTCTGCAGGTATAGACGTTTTTAATTTTGGTGTTTATTTTTCTTTGGTTTTCTTTGTGTCTTAGGTATTATGTCTGACAAATCATTGCTTAATGCAAAGTAACTGATATTTAGGTGTATGTTTTCTTTGGAGAGTTTTATGATGTTCTTATGTTTGAGTCTGATCTATTTTGAGTTAATTTTGTTTATGGTATGAAATAGGAATTCATTATCATTCTTTTATATATGTATGTCCAGTCATGATTCGTCTTAATTGCCCGTGTAATGTAATAGTACTTTCATCACAAATGAGCAGAAGGTGAACATGTAACATTTTCTGTCATTGGGTCTCAGTGTATTCAGGTCAGAAACTTGATTTTATCTTTTCTGCTCAGAATTCTCTTTTGCTTGAATTTACATCATCTGTTCTACCACAGTGTTGATTAGGATAATGAACATAAACTCAAGGATAACGTGGTAGCTCCTGAATGTAAACTGTTAAAAGTATATTATTTCTAAAAATAACAATAGTTACATTTCATTTGTATTTAATACTATAAATCGTATTTTACATCATGATGAAGTTTCTCTTCTTAGACTTGGTAAAATCTCATAAAAAGCTTTCCTGCTGGCTTTTGCCAATAATGTAGGTTTCAGTGAAGTTAGGCACTTCAGTGAAGTTGGTGAATTTACTTCGTTTTTGCTCTTTAAATAGACTCAGCCATTTTAGAAAACCTGAGTTTCTGAAACCTCATTATATATTTATCTTTATTTTCTAGTATTTATGAGTAGGTGTAAAATTAGTATGCATGTGATGGTTACATTCATTGTGGAGAGTGGGTGCATGTCCACAGCACATCTTAATTCTTTTTACTTCCCTTCCCCTCATCGCCCTTCATGCTTGTATTCTGAAGCGCCCTGTGGTAGCCTAGATTCACCATGTGGTACCTTTGTTGTATTCTGTCTTTTGTGGAGGTTGAAATAAATGTTCATTTTCTTAGATCAAATAACCAGAAAACTCTATAGAAATTTAAGAAATGAATGTAACCTTGCAGATAAATGCCAGAAATGCTTCATTCTCTATGATTAAACTTAAGTCAGCATTTTAAATTTCTTTTTCACCAATATCAGCCACAGCAGAAATACTGAGTGCCTGGCTGGGCGGAGAGCTAATGGCTGTGCTGTGGGCCTTTTTGATTGTGGGGCAGTCGATGTTGCCTGTTTGATAGCCTCTTACCAGGTCAGAAATGCAGCAGAGCTTGAGTCAGAGCAAGGAGCCTAAATAGTGGCACATTTTTAGAACTTGTGAGTAGGAGCTAAGGAGTCATGTAGCATATATGGCCTGTACATGTCTCTCCTTGTCACTTGGACCCATTTGTGGTTTATTTATTTATTCATTTTTAACTTTTTGAGATAGGTCTCTATATGCAGTTAAGGCTGGTCTTGAACTCACTATGTAGCCCAAGCTAGCCTAGAATTCTCAGTAATCCTTCTGCCTCAGCCTTCCAAGTGCTGCAGTTTACAGGTGTGCACCACCATGCTCAGCCCCATTTGTGTTTTTTCCTTTTCTTTTTTAGGTTGCAGTTGTTCTGATGGATACCCAAGGGGCGTTTGACAGTCAGTCAACTGTGAAAGACTGTGCCACCATCTTCGCTCTCAGTACCATGACTAGTTCTGTTCAGGTAAAACCACTTGACTTGGAAATAAAAAAGGAAATGCAGTAAAGGGGGGACATCTAGTTTTAGTTACAATTTTCGTAACAGGATTCCACTGATGACATAGACATGTTCGGTTTCTTCTCTTTTCTTTTTTTTTTTTTTTGGTTTTTTGAGGATTGAACCCATGACCTTGGACTTGCCAGGCAGGTGCTTATGCCACTGAGCTAAATCCCCAGCCCCATTCTTTTTAGATATACATGTAAGTTAAGTTCTAAGAAACCCAAGAGGAGCTAAATTATTTTTGCACTTTGGTGGTAAATTGTATATAACATATTTTATGAAAAGCAACAAACATGGGAATTGAAATTATATCAGTTAAATCCTTAGAAAATGTAGATTTGGTAAGTACCTAAGAAAACCAAGGAAGAATTTCATGATTTCAGCCTTATAGTTTTCCAAGAGATAATATTACTCTTTGAACAGGCTTCATATTCTTGTATACAAATCTTTAATTGTACAAAGCTTCTGTTCAGTGCTGTAGACTTATTTGGGATTTGTTTAAGATAGGGTGTCCATCTGCAGTTAAGGCTGGTCTTGAACTCACTATGTAGCTCAAGCTAGCCTTGAATTCTCAGTGATCCTCCTGCCTCAGCCTTCCAAGTGCTGCAGTTTACAGAGGTGTACCACCACGTTCAGCCCCATCTGTGTTTTTGTAGTATCAATCTGGATTTTTGTTTTCCAGATATACAATTTGTCCCAGAACATTCAGGAAGATGATCTTCAACAGCTGCAGGTATCTATTCCCCATATATTTTAACATCATATCATGTTAGTTTTAAGAAAAATAATTGGGTAGCTTTTAGTAAACAGTTGAAACTCGAGGGAAGGTTTTTGGTTTATAGTAATTTTGGACTCTGTATATTGTTGACTTGGATCCGAGTGGTCAGAGAAAGGCTTTGTTCTTTGGGGTAAAGAATGGAGGAAAGTGGGTGGTGAAGTCGTTTAGGTGTGTCTCTCAAAGTATTAAAGGAGGGGGAGCAGCAGGAACCCTGCTGAGTGGAGGAAGGTGACTGAGAGGTGGGGTTGGAATAGATGGAAGGGGCTCGGCGGTGAAGTCAGGCAGTAAGGTGGGTGTCCTGTGGGGTCGGGCTTTTCCTCTGGGGGAGATGGGAGCCAGGGAGTTTTGAGCAGAGGAGTGGTGTTATGAGTTAATGGAAAAAGATCACTGGCTTTCTGGTTCAGAATGGATTTTTAGGAAGGCAAGGATGCATTCAGTGAGACTGGTTGTGGAGTTACTCTAGTAATTCAGGTGAGGTTACAGAAATTAATATTTATTAAGTGCATAGAATGATGCATCTGGAGAATAGTATGTGCTTAATAATTGCTAGCCATTTTACTATTACTGCATTTTACTGTTATTCAACAATTTCTCCATGGCAGCAGCTTCATCTATTTTTCCTAGAAAATATTCACTGCAAGTTTGGCTGAGGTTCCTGGCATGCTTCTCTTGTTTCTGTTCCCCCAGCAACACTGAGGGAAATATATCAAAAGTTGAGTGGCTGAGGTGGTTATTATTATAGGGACCTTGAATTAGATTCATTTTCTAGTCTTTTAAAAACAAACAGAGCAAATCATTCTTTTGTTTTCTGAGTCAGGATCTTGCTATATAGTTTAGGCTGGCCTTGAACCCACAATGTAGCCTAGAGTGATCCTGAACTTTTGCCTCAGCCTTCTGAATGCTAGGACTGCAGGTGTGTACCTGGATGCTGCTGGATTTGTGTGTGTGTGTGTTTGAGGCGGGGTCTCACTATGCAGTTCAGGCTGGCCTTGAGCTCACTTTGTAGCCCAGGCTGGTCTTGAACTGGCAATGATCCTTCTGCGTCAGCCTCCTGAGTGCTGGGATTATAGGCCTGCACCACCGTGCCTGGCTGCTGCTAGATTTTCAAGAACATGTCTTTACTGTTCCTTTCTGATTTTTAAACTTAAATATTGATAATGTACACTAAATTAAGATTTAGTTCTCTTTTTTTTCTCCATCTTTCAGCCCAGTTTCCTTTCTCTCTTACTTCAATAGTCATTGAGTTTAAAAAGTCCATACTTATTTAATTATATGGGTAACATGAGGAATGATAGAAAAACATGGTATATGTAAGTACAAAAGCCATTACAGTAAAAGACACATTACCATTAGTATTCCTCAGAATCCTCCCCTTACTTTGAACACGTGTGTCCTGTCATTCTTGCCACTTTCTGAAGTAGTTCTGGAAGTCGTCTTTCACATCTTTGGTTACGCTGTTTCGTCTGTCTTGATATCCTGAATCTATTCAAAGCATTTCCTTTTCATAGTTGTTTTCACTTTAGGGAAAAATCGGAAGGCACGTGGTGTGGGAGCTGTGAACAAGATGGGAGAGGATACACTGGTGTTAGGAGCCTGCCTTTCTTCTGGGTGGCAGTTTGCAGTAGCATTCGCCACATTTTGTATCATGCCTTGTAAAGACACTTACAAAAAAAGACTTCAGAACTACATCAGAGAGCGACAGGATGGTGGGCTATGTGGGGTCAGAGTGAAGGGGACCATTTTGAGGGATAGTTTTTCTTTTTTGGTACTGAGAATTGAACTCATGACCTTGCACTTGCCAGGCAGGCGCTTATGCCACTCAACTAAATCCCCAGCCCTGTTTTGAGGGATATTAATGCACTGTGTCTTTTACTGTAATATGATTTTTTTTTATGATACTTGTTTTTTTTTTGGTACCTGGGATGAACTCACAACCTTGTGTCTGCAAGGCAGGTGCTTATACCACTGAACTAAATCCCAGCCCAACTGTAATAAATTTTTGAACTTTAAAAATTCAGCATAGTTTTTGATCACTCCTTGTATACAATTGACCCTCATTTCTGAAGGGTTCTCACCCATGGATTCAACCAACCTTGGATTGAAAATATTTGAAAAAAAAAATTGAGTCTGTACTCAACATGCACAGGCTGTTTTCTTCTCTCCCCTCCCTTCCCCTCTCCCTCCCTCCTTTCCCTCCCCTCTCCTCCTCTCCCCTCCCCTTCCCTCCTTTCCCTCCCCTCTCCTCCTCTCCCCTCCCCTTCCCTCCTTTCCCCTTACTTGACTTTGCTTGGCTCTCCTTCCTCCGCCTTTCTCTCTCATTATTCCCAAAATAATATGGCATAACTGCTTACATAGCAATTATTTTGAATTTGACTTTATAGGTAATTTAGAGATGAGCTAAAGGGTGTGTGTAGGTTATATGAAATACCTTGTCGTTTTATGTAAGGAACTTGAGCATATGCACATTTGGTGTCTGTGGGGCTCCTGGAGTGAATGCTACTTGTATATGCTCTTTACAACTGAGGCCCATTGTGAACTATGATTGTATTTCTTGTGACTAATTACCTTCATTGCCTTTTCTATTTCAGCTTGGTTTTCTTTATGCTGATGACTAATGCACCCACAGATTGTAACACTTCTCAGCAGCATCTGACAATAAGGCTTGTTTATCTTCCCCAGGGATGGCTGCCCTCTGGACATTGAGCCCTGCTGTAGTCTGCAATGTCTCTTGTAGACACAGGTGTCATTCAGTGGCCTTTTTTTTTTTTTTTTTTAAATTTTTTTTGGTCTTTTTCCTTTTTATCAGTATCGGGGATTGAACTTACAACTGCCTGCTTCCAAGGCAGGCACTTATGCCGCTGAGCTAAACCTCCAGCCCCAAAGCTAAACCTCCAGCCCCTCAGTGGTCTTTCTTTACCACAATCCTGGCAACTTCTTTTCAATTTCTGCCTCAGTAGGGTCCCATTTAATCCTCTGCTTCTTCCCTCCTCAGTTCTGCTCATTCCTGAGGAAGGATGCATGGGAAGTAACTTTTTTTTTTAGGTTTTAAATCTGAGCATATTTTAGTTTAATCGAAGCCTTAGAGAATGGAACTCATTTTCCCATAGGATTACGAAGGCACCGCTTCATTGTCTTGCTGCTCCATATTGCTGCTAAAGTCCTAATGCTATCTCATTCCTGATCATTGGTGTGGGATCTTCTTGTTTTTGGTGCTTGTAAGATCTTATTCTTGGCATGTGTTTTCAGGATAATGTGCCTTAGTTTGGGTTTCTTTTTCATTCTTTGTAAATCATCCTCAGAGAGATAAGATGTTACAGTTAAGAAATAACAGGCTACTGTTAAAAACGTGGAGGATAGAGTAAAAGGACTTTTCAGAGCTGGGTTTGCAAGATGCTGTCCACTTGCTGGAGGGTTTGTGTGAGTTTTAGTTCCTTTTCAGCCTTAGTCAATGTGTCATTTGATCCAGTGAGTACTCAGGCCTTACCGTATGTCAAGGATGCTGTCTTTTCTTCTGGAAATCCAGTTTGTGTCTATCTCGTAGTGTGTGTTGTGTATCTTTGTGCTCTAGGAACCTGCCATATACCAGTCTCATGCCAGGCTTACCTTAAGGCCACCAAGAAAAATGAAGACGGGAATATAAGTCAGACAAGGAAGGAGTGGGAGTGGAGCTCTTGCATTTCGAGAGCTGGCGGTAGAGTTCTACACCTATGCCCCAAATAACGAGCAGTTCAGTGGGGTTTACCGAGTGTGTGCTTCTGCTGAGCAGAAAGCTAAGAAGCATCTACTGTGTACCAGTGTGCCAGGGGTTGAGAGTAGGCAATTCATAATAATAGAATCACTAGCATTTCAAGAATACAGTAAAGAGCTCCTAGAAATTAAAACCGTAACAGCAAAAATGAAAAATTCAGTAGAGAAAGTATTAGAATATAACATGTAACATACAGGGGAAAGAGAAACCAGCAGAGACCACCAGGCTTGTGTAAAGGAAACATGGCCTAGAATTTATTATGCTTGAGAGCACAATAAGAGAGAGAAGTGTGTCTCTTTTATAGGGATGAGAGATGGCAGATGACATCAGGTGGGAAGATAGCAGTAAACATCTGTGATCAAAATTCTCTGGAAGCCCTGCACCTCAGTGGGCAGGGTCTCTGAAGCCTCCGGTGTGTCTCCAAATGTCTCCAGATATCCCAGAACCTGCAAAATTCCCTGTCTTATCTTATCTCCTTTCCTGTGCTTGCAGAGGACAGCCTCAGTGACAGCCTGGAGTGCTGAAATTCCCTGGAGAGAGTAGAGCTTCTGCTGGCTAGCAGGCTGGGGGCTGGGAGAGTCAGGTCTGGTTGGAGCCTTCCAAATAGAGGTTGGAGAAAATTTATTCAGCAGTATAAATAAAGATACAAAGAGCAGAGACTAGGAAGGACAGTGTGAAAGAGGGAAAAGAGAGGAGAGAGTGATAGAACATTGGGAGGCATGAAAAAGGGAAGAATAGGGGGCAGACGTGGAGAAGTGGAGGGGTGCACATGCAGGAGAAAGGATCAATTTGTCAGACGTTTGACAGGTTAATAATGGGTCTTCAGCAGTGGGTATTTAGTAAGAGAACAGAAAATGAAGGGAAAAAGTCATAAAAGAAATAATATACACTGATACTCTAGAATTGAAGGACGTGGAATTTTTTGGGGTTTTTTTGAGACAAGGTCTCACTATGTAGTGCAGGCTGGCCTTGAACTCATGGCAATGTTCCTGCCTCAGCCTCCTGAGTGCTGGGATGACTGGACATGAGTTTTTGTCTTTACTGCTACAGGGTTTTCTCAAGTATCTGGTACTCCCTGGCTGTCTGTATTTAAGAGTGAGCCGCTAAGAATCCCAAAGGGAACTGTGGTAAGAGGGTAGTGCTCCTGATTGGGCAAGAGTACTTAGCTATTTTGTTGTCAACTCGCAACTGTCTGTATTTGAGCAGGTTTATTCTTTTATTTTTATTCTTTTTTATTTACTTTTATTTATTTATTTATTTATTTATTTATTTATATTTTGTCTTTTTGAGACAGGGTCTCACTATGCAGTTCAGGCTGGCCTTGAGCTCGCTTTGTAGCCCAGGCTGGTCACGAACTCGTAACGATTCTCCTGCCTCAGCCCCCGAGTGCTGGGGTTACAGGCATGAGCCACCACGCCCGGCTGGGCAAGTTTATTCTTAGGCTGCCGGTTTTTCCAGAGATTTCTCTAAGCAGCAGGATGAGAGCGCTTAGTCCTGCTATTCAGTACAGCATACAGCTTTGACTTAAGGATCTGTTTCCAAGCTGTTTCCTACCTTACCTGAGGGTGGTTTCCAAGGCTAAGGTTTGTTGGAATCCTGTCTAGAGAGCGCACCCACCACCTTGCATGGGGGTCAGAATAGTGTAGGGCCTGGTGGGGATCTGGGTCTGGAGGTTTAGCTGCTTTCTCCAGAGGTCTGCAATCATTGCTTTAGTCACCGTTCCCACTCCCAGGCTTCCTCTGCAAGGTAACTACATGATTTAATATCCCAGCCTCAGCCTCCTGGTGATTCAGTAGGCAGAATCTGCCTGCTTGCTTTGGGCCCCCCTGCCTCCTCGATTTCTTCATAGGGCAGGGGAAGCTAAAATTCAGCAGTTCTCATCCTTTCTTTTCCTGAAAAGGTTTTGACAACTCTTTTTTGCTGTCATATTATTTCTCATCCTTTTTGTCCTGTGAGTTCGTAATTTTTTTTTTTTTTTTTTTGGGTACTGAGAATCAAACTTAGGACCTCAGGCTTGCCAGGCTAGACCTGTGCCGCTGAGCCAAATCCCTGGCGAGTTTATAACTTTAAACTTGATTTTGTTGTAGTTTTAGTGGGCAGAGGCTTCATAAAGATATAGAGGTAAATGTACATGTTAGCTCTCACCACAGTAGTCCCCTTCATTCAGTCATTTGAATGATGTAAATACTAAGGGCCCAGAACATTTCTTGGACTCGCCATACAGAATGCACAAGGTAGGCAGATGGTTCTGGCTGTGTGAGAATTAAATGTTCATTGTAAAATAGACACTAGTGAAAGTAAAGGTGTAGGACATTAGACAGTGTTAGGGGAAAAAAGGGACACGAGATAAAAACTACAATGTGGTAATAGCCTCAATTACTGTATTCATTGTATGCCATAATATGAGCTAAGATTAATAATGTCAACAAGAATGAAAAATGGGGTGGGGAATTAGAGGAAGGAGAAAGAGGGAATGGGAAGGGAAAGAGAAAGAGGAAGCCGGCTGTAGTGTGTACATGGAACCCTTCCCCAAGATGTTTGTAAACTGCATGTACTGCAAACATGTACTAAAAAGGAAAGAAAGAAACAAAGAATGACAGACAATGTGGCAGGTTGTAATCTTTTCTTTTTAGGTGGCTGGCTGTGAAAGGCTCTTTGAAAAGTGGCCACTGAGTAAAGACTTGAAGAAGTGAGGCAGCTGATTTGCCAGGGTATCTGGGGGCCAGGAGTGGTGGACAGGGTTTAATACTGAGGGTGCAGGGTTGGGCGTGGAGGGTGCTGTTGTCTAACCTCAGCCACTATGGCTGGTGTTTTGAGAAAAATCTGTTGTGGCCAGAGCTGAAGTGGGGAGACCAGTTTCCCAACTGCAGAATTCTGGACCTCGTAGAATTAGTGAATGGTTGAATTTTGGATTTGCTGATGAATTGGGATGTAAAATATGAGAGTGAGGAATAATGAAGATTATTTTAAGGTTCATGGCTAATTTTTTTTCTTTTGAGGCAGGGTTTCACTATATAGCTGTTTTTGAATTCACAACAATTTCCTGCCTCAGCCTCCCAAGTGCTGGGATTACAGGCATATGCCACCATGCCTGGCTTCCTGTGGGATTTATAAACTATAAAACATAGTTATGATACCTAGTCTGTTAAGTGAGCACTTTGCTAAAGGATAGCGTGGAAGTATTTTAAATAATTTTACTTATAAAACGTAAATTTTCTTTTTTAAAGCTCTTCACAGAATATGGTCGTCTGGCAATGGATGAAATTTTCCAAAAACCTTTCCAGGTAGAATATTAACTATGATTGTAATTCATAACTTTGTTTTAGTTTACAGGTCATCAAACTGCAGTTCACAGTAAAGATGGCTTTTGTATGGGTATATATGTGTTTTGTGCAGTGCTGGAATTGAACCCAGGGTCTCATGCATGTTAGTAGGCAAGTGCTGTACTATTGAGCTACATCTCAAGTTGTTTTTTTTATATTTTTAATGGATGAAAAGGAATATTTCATGACATGTGTTAATTATCTGAATTTCAAATGTTACCTAACATATTAGTGGCATGCAGCGTGCTCATCTGTGTATGCATCAGCTATGACTGCCTTCTTGCAAAATTCAAGAGCCGGTTAAAATATTTATTCTCTGGCCCTTTACAGAAGACATTTGCCGACCTCTGCTTTATCACCAGTAAGGCTGGAGGTGCATTAATATGTGAGCATTATGTCTTTTCCCTGTTTTGAGGGATCAGATATCACACAGGCACCCGCCAAACTGGGCTGTTTTTTTTTTTTTCTAATGTAAATAGCAGATGTGGTTATTAGCTGGTACCACTTTGTTTTCTGTCTTGTCCTTTACTGAGTTCTACTTGCCTTTAGGGAAGAGCCCCACATTTATGTTGTCTCAACAGTCTCTTCCGTAACCTTTGGGGATGAAACTAGCAGTTGTGATACATTGACCCCATGTTTGCCTTAAATGTGTCCTTCTGTTGTTTATAAAGTTTCTATATTATGGACTAGATAAATCTTTCAGAACATGTTCTTGCTCCCTTTGGAGAAATTGGCATTATTCATACAAATATTGCAATTATGATCTTGAAAATGCATTTATGCATTCATAATATGTTCTACTTTCTTCCTAAATAGACGCTTATGTTTCTGGTTCGAGATTGGAGTTTCCCTTATGAATATGGTTATGGACTACAAGGAGGGATGGCATTTTTGGATAAACGTTTACAGGTAAGTGGGAATAATTTGTTGTGTGGAATTACTTAAAAGTATTATGAATGGCTTTTTTACTTGGCTTTGGATATTGAATTTAAAGCAGGTTATTGAAAATGATGCTGTGTGTGTTAAGTTTGTATGAATCTTAATGTAAATGAATATTATTTATTCATTAAAAAATTAAAGAACTTGAGTATATAATGTCCAGGGATTGTAGAGAACATTTCTGGTCAAAAGCCCAAGTATGATTATAAATTCTGTTTCATATTTTAAACCAAGATCAAGTGTGCCTTTAATTATTTATTTTGTTTATTTATTTTGCTATGTAGTTCAGGTAGGCCTTAAACGCACAGCAAGCCTTCCATCTCAGCCCCCTAAGTGCTGGGATTACAGGTGTGCACCTCCATGCCTAGCCTAATGTGCTTTTAGAATCTCACATTCAGAATTTTAGTTCTACTGAAATCTTACTTATTTTGGCATGGATAGAAACAAGCTTATCCTGTTCCCCAAAAAGCAAAGCACAGGAGTCTTTTGTCATTGTTAGATCCTTCTTCCTGCCCACAATCTTCTTTTGTTCTTTTAGAAGGATTGTGCAATACAGGTTTTCTTCAGTATCTTAACTATGGGAATCAAGTTGGTTAATCACTCTTGTGCAGTTATTGGTTCTGAGGGTCCTGAGTTTTCCATCAGGTTGGAAAGTCTTTCCTGTGTCCTCATGCTGCTGTTTGCTGGTGAAGAACACTCTGATACAGCCTTTGGTTGGTAAATTGTTGGTCTTTGTTGGCAGGTGAAAGAACATCAACATGAAGAAATTCAGAATGTTCGAAATCATATTCACTCATGTTTCTCCGATGTCACCTGCTTTCTCTTACCACATCCAGGACTCCAGGTGGCCACGAGCCCTGACTTCGATGGGAAATTGAAAGGTGCGTTGTAGGTGTTGTTATTACAAACATGTGACTTGGTTTGTGGAATTAACGACAAGTAAATGTCGATTAAGAATCAAGTGAATGCTAGCCGGGTATGGCGGTGCATACCTGCAATTGCAGCACTTGGGAGGCTGAGGCAGGAGAGTCACTGGGAGTTCAGAACCAGCCTAGACTGTACAGTGAGACCCTGTGTTTTAATATATTTTTATTTTTTTGATGTGAGTGTTTAAGAGATAAGCTACTATAGCATGGTAAAAAGAGTATTTAGAATCTAGTTCACATTTTGCCTCTTACTACGGCCATCAGAATTAGTTTATGGCTGTTTCTTTATCTGAAAATTACGGTGTTACATCCATCAGCAAGCTGTCTTTCTTCCTCCCCCTTTCTTTCTTCCTTTTGTCTTGCTTCCCCACCTCCACCTGTTTTTGGACACAGGGTCTCACTGGGTGTATCAGGCTGGCCTTGAACTCACTATGTAGTCTGGGTGGGCCTCAAACTGATGGTGATCCTCCTGCCTCAGCCTGCCGAGTGCTGGGATTACAGGTGTGCACCACTACACCAGGTTTCTGTTCTTTATGGGGATTGAACCCATATCCTCACTGAGCTACATCCCCAGCACATTTTTTATTCTGAGACAAGATCTCGCTAAATCCATTTAAGTTGCCCAGGCTGATTTCAAACTTTCGATCCTCCTGCCTCACCCTTCCAGAGTACTGGACATGCTACCACATCTGGCCCATCAGTGATCTTTCTAGAGACATGTTTTGGTTACAGTTTACAAGAGATAAATGCTAAATAAAGGAGAACTAAATCTAAGTCAGCTGATATTCATCAAGTACAGTTACCTTCCCACGGAAAGGTACCATGGTGCCTGGCCTAGCTGTTTTCATCATTCTTGTGGTATCGTAAAACCTGGTGCCGTGTCGCGCATTCATTTCAGGAAATGCTGCGTAGATGCAGAGCGTGTTGGGGGAATCAGAGTTGGGACTCTTGAGTTCTATGATCTTGTTTTTGTTCTTTATTCATGGAGACCTCATTTTACCTCCTGTAAAGCCGAGTGCTTTGCGTGTATGCTTACCAAAGCTTCCCCTGTTTCTTGTAGAGTGGCAGCAACAGCAGCTGCCACTTTTGGAAGCCCTGCTGTGTTCCCAGCACTGTTCAGAGTGCTTTCCTACCAAGGCTTCCAGTAGTTCTACGAAGTTGGTATCGATTCCTTTTCCTTACAGCTGAGGAAGTTGCGAAAATGAAGGAAAGTAATTCACACAAAGAGGTCAGCTGAAGGTGATGGGGCAGAGGTTCACATCAGGTGTCCGTGCCCAGAGCTGCACTGTGCTGAAGTACAAGTCCTTTGTTGTTGGAGGAAGTCTTAAAGGATGTGTACTGTTTAGTTCTGAGAGGAGCTTGCCTTTGGGGAGAGAAGTTTTCATAGCTTCAACTATGAATGCAGTGTATTTATTTTGACTCCACTGACCCAAGAACTTTAATGTACTTATCTAACTCAATATTTATATTCCAGCTGGGGTTAGTATTGCAAAAGAAACCAAGTTTGAGAGACTTATCCTATACCTTCTCTTTGTCACTTGTTTGATTGTTCTTTTTGGTTTTTTGACACAGTGTCTTGGTTTGTAGTTCAGGCTGGTCTTGAACTCACTATGTAACCTAGGCTGGTATCAAATATGTGGCATTTCTCCTGCCTCAGCCTCCCAAGTTCTGGGATTCCAGGTATATACCTATAATATGTTTAATATTTTTAAAGGGTTGACAGCTGTCCTGAGGAGACACTTCCAAGGCCAGTTATGGCAATTAAAATTTCCCAAACTGGGGCCTGGCTTTGGGGGAGAAATCCTGATTAGCAAACACAAGATTCTTGTGAGAGGATTTTTAAAGCCAAGTAAGAAAGGAGTGGAGTGCATGTTTACACGGGCATGTGTGTTGGTAATGTATTCTTTAGGGTTATAATACTTCACTGTTAGCCGTACTTCTACCAAATACAAACTGATGTTTTTCATCACTGATAGGGAAATTCTCGAACAGGGACATTTAGGAGATGATGGGTTAAGAGTGACCTTCCTTACTGCTTTTGCCTCTTGGTGATCTCAGGGTTTCACATATAAGCAGACAAAAATGGCATTCTTCCATATGTCTCTTTCTGTATTTTTAAGCATTTTAACATTTCAGAGGAGATTGAGCCGGGATAGGATAGCCATAAATGTATTTTAGCATTTTAAATTTGAAATTTCAGTTTCATTTTATCATTTTATTCAGGAAACAGGCAGGTTTTTTAAAAAGTTCTGTAACCCTAACTTTTGAAAATTTTGTATTTCTTTTGAGAATGCATATTATGTTAATTTCCTGTGGCTATCTTTTAACAGTTACCACAAGCTTGTGGTGTAAGACAACAGAAACGTATTCCCTCACAGTTCAGGATACCACAAGTCTGAAGTCGTAGTTGGGTCCCTGGAGAGAGACCCTGTCCTATGCCTGTCTCCAGCTTGCTGTAGCTGTTAGCGTTCATTGGTTGTGGTTATGTAACTCCAGTCTCTTAGTTGTCACATGGGACTGTCTTCTCTGTTCTGTCTTCTTCCTGTCATTATACCAGTCTTTGATTTAAGGGCCACTCCAATTCAATATGATCTTATTTTAGCTAATCAAATTTGCAAGGACTATTTCCAAGAAGGCCACAGTCTGAAGTTCCAGATAGATATACATTTTGGGGAGATAGGTAGTATTGAACCCACTGCACATATATATAGATTATGAAGGGGTTAATCATTAAATATTAAATATGTAATGTTTATTGCATTTATAAAATAGCTCACAAATTCTGATTATATGCAATCTTTAATTTCATAATTATATACAGTGTGGTTTCTTTATCAAGGTAAAACTATAAAATACATGTTTTGGTTATTTTTAGTTTCCAGTACTATGGTAGGAGTTGAATTCAGGGTCTTTTAGCTACATCCTAGCACCCTCTTTTTTTGTTTGTTTTTGTTTTTCTGAGACAGGGTATTGCCATGCAGTTCAGGCTGTCTTTGAACTCATTTTACAGTCCAGGCTGGCCTTGAACTTGTGGCAATCCTGCTGCTTCAGGCTCCCATGTACTGGGATTACAGGTCTACATTGCCACATCCAGCCCTAGCCCTTTTATTTATTTATTTTATTATTTTATTTTTTGGTGTTTTTTTTTTTTTTTTTTTTTTTTTTTTGGAGAAAGGAGCTCACTATGTAGTGGAGGCTGGCCTTAAACTCACTGTGTAGCCCAGGCTGACCTCAATTTGTGGTACTCCTGCCTCAGCTTCCTGAGTGCTGGGATTATAAGTGTGCACCACCTTGCCTGGCAGTCCTAGCCCTTTTAAACGATTTTTTTTTTTTTTAACGTTTGAGCCAAGGTTGTGCTAAGTTGCTATGCTTGAACTTTCACTCCTCCTGCTCTAGCCTCTTGGAGTGCTGGGTTTACAGGTTTGCACCATCGTGTTCCACTTATTTATAGGGTTTAACATGTTCCTGATGGGAATGTAATTTGTAGACCTTGCCTCCTCGTGGCTTTAGCTGCCAGTGGTACATGCATGACTATCCTGAGTGATTGTTTTATTTTATTAGTAAAAAGTCCGATAAAAGTGATTAGATCTGATGGGACAGTCATGCATGTACCACTCGTGGTACAAGCAGGGAGAAACATGTTAACATTTCTTTTCTTATGTGAAAAAGCAAGTCCAAAAATAAATACAGGGCCGAAAATATAGCTCAGTGATACAGAACTTGCCTAGAATCTTGTATTTAATTCTCAGCACCATAACAAACAAAGAAACTCCAAAAGCAAAGCAGTCTCCTCACCTACAGATAGTCAGTGTGTTACAGGTGCAGTGTCACCATAATGAAAAAAACACAAATAAGCTGGCATAAGTTATAGTCTATACTACTAATGTGGCAGTGTCAAAATTTAAGATGTTTATATCCTTTAATCTTGTATTTTGCTTTGAAGAATATCCTAAAGAATTGTCCAAATAAGTGGGAAAAAATATAGGACAAGAATAAAGCTGGATGTGGTGGTGCATGCCTGGAATCCCAGCATTCAAGAGGCTGAGGCAGGATTGTGAGTTCAAGGCCAGTGTGGGATACATAGTGAGATGCCGATTCTAAAAGCCAACCAGGGCCAGGGATGTAGCTCTGCAGCATAAGCACCTGCCTTGCAAGCATGCAGTCGTGAGTTTAATCCACAGTACCAAAATACAAAAACAAAAACAAAAAACAAGCAAACAAAAAAACCTTCAAAAAGCCAACCAAACAAAAAAAAGTATATATAATGTGAACAATAGAGAATAACTGGAAAAAGCCCAAATGTATGTTTATGAAGATTGGTTAAATTAACCATGAAGAATAAAACATAGGCATTAAAAAAGGATAAAGTAGATAGTTTGGTCTATGTTTTTACGTAGATGTCCATGGCAAATTATTAAATGTAAAAGTATTACACAGTGCCATGCTTTCTTGTGTGTGTGTGTGTATATATGTATATATATATATATATATTTTCATACTATGTGCAATGACATATATGCCTGTAAACCCAGCTACTTGAGAGACTGAAGCTGAAGAATAGAAATGTTGAGGTTTGGGCTGGGCAACATAATGAGACCTTATCTTAAAAATATATGTGTGTGTGTGTATGTATGAAAATATATATATGTGTGTATGTAAATATAAAGAAATCAACATCCCATGGGCTTCTGAGGGACTTTTCTGATTGAACAGTACTATGAATGTTTAGTTTTAAAAGAAATTATTACAGTAAAAGACACAATGTCACAGTATCCCTCAGAATATTCCTTCCTGCCAGGCATTGTGGCTCATGCCTGTAATCTCACAATTTGAGAGGTTGAGGCAGGAGGATCACGGTGATTTCAAAGCCAGCCTAAACTATATAACAAGAGCCCGTCTCAAAAAACAAAAAAGCAGGAATACACTTTCTTTGACCACACTTAACTCATCATTCCCACCACTTTTGGAAGCGTTGTGAAAGTCCTCTTTCATGTCTTTAGTTGTGCTGTTGTGTCTGCGTTGATGTCCCGAGTCAATTAAAAATGTTTACCTTTCATGATCAGAATAACTTTGGGGAAGAGTCCGAAGTCACACAGTGCCAGATGTGATGAAGAGGGTGGGTGGCGATGCACATGTTGAGACAGGGCCTTGCCATGTAGTTTAGACTTGTCTTGAACTCAGACTGTGTAGCCCAGGCAGCCTCTGGACTCACGGTGTCCTCCGGCCGCAGCCCGCCAAGGGCTGGGGTCACAGGCGTCTGCCACCAGCCTGGCAGGAACGCACTGGATCTGTGATGCGCCTTTTCATGGAATCACACAGAGCAGCAGCTTTATCTGTGTTTTGATCACACCTCAAAAGGACACGAAAAAGGGCTTCCAGAGGTGCTTTAGAAAGTGGCCAGAACAGTGGGATAAGTGTGTTTGCAGCCAGCATAACTTGAGGAGTAGTAATAGTGTGTCTTTCACTGTAATAAAGTTTTAAAATTTAAACATTCACTGTGTGTGTATGTTGATTTACACAAAGAATAAATCATAGACATTAAAAAAGGATAAAGTAGATAGTTGGGTCTTGTTTTTATGTAGGTGTCCATGATAGCCATGTTGTTTTTCATATGGGAAAATTTGAAAGAAGAAAATGTAGCTTTTTTTGCTTCACTTGAACAGTATGTTAAAAGTCTGCCTAGCATATCTGTTTAAGGAACTGTATTATTCTGAGGATCCTTAGTGACAGATTCTTGTTAGCTGTGTAGAGATTTGTCTATAGCCATGTGCCACATAGCAGTGTTTTATTCGACCACAGAGTGCACTGAATTGGAAGATTATTGGATGACTTAGGTGTGTAGTAGTAGGCTGTCCCTTCTGGCTTTGTGTTTGTATGTACTCTGATGTTCACACAACCAGAGAATCCCCTAGTTTGTGTTACTGTCACAATATGGAGATGGGTATTTTATACTTTCTCTCTCCCTTCCTCCCTGCCTCCTTCTTTCTCTTTTTCTTTTGGCACTACTGGGCCTTCTCCTTTTCTTAGTTTACTTTTGATACTGGGGATCAAACTCACGACCATGTGCTTGCAAGGCAGGCACTTATGCCGCTGAGCTAAATCCCCGGCCCTTCTTTTTTATTTTTTTATTTTGGGACGGGTTCTTGCTAAATTGCCCAGGCTGAGCCTGAACTTGTGATTGTGGAATTACAGGTGTGGACCACTGTACCTGATATTTTGTAATTTTAGGGAACTTTTTAATCATATTGAAATGGTTTTGATGAGAAGTAGATACTAAATTGCAAATGGCAGGTAACCTCTCACTATTTGGCCAGTGCTAGTTTGAAAACAACACAGACTATTATGAGAGACACAGAGACAGAGCTAATGTAGTTCTCAGAGCTAGAAAACCTAGATATGCTTTCCAAGTATATACTGGTACATTTCCTTGATTAGGATTCTTAAATCTCATTGTATAGAATTTAGAAAAGATAATATCTTGAAAGTGGTTACAGGAGATCCAAGAAAGAAGTTTAGTATAGTTTTTGTAGAACATTTAAATTTAATAAGCTCTATATTCTGAGGCTCTTTCTACAAATGTTCCCCCCAAGTACTGTAGGAATCCTTTTAGGGAATGTTATTTTATTTATTCTTTTTTTCTCAGGCAGAGTTTTGAACTCATTATGTTACCCAGACTGGCCATGAGGTGATCCTTCTGTCTCAGCCTTCTGAGTGCTAGGATTACAGTCTGGGCCGCCACACCCATCCGTTCACCACTTCCTCAGCTTGATCTTAGTTTTGGTGCTGTGAACACTGAGCTCTGCTGCTTGTAGTTATTAGCTAGAGTAGCTGCTTCCTGACACAGGGTGACTGTGTTATCATCATAGAGAGAACTGCCTTCTGCTTACTATAGCAGGGAGACCCGTACAGTAACTACTTATTTGTTTAGCTAGAAATTAAACAGAAGGGTATATAGTACCCAGTCATCTCTGAAATGAGAGATTAAGTTTTATCTGTATCGGGGCTGGGGTTTAGCTCAGTGGCATAAGCGCCTGCCTATGGTCCTGAGTTTGATCTCCAGTACCGATTAAAAAAAAAAGAGCTTATCTATGTCAGGAGACAGTTCTTACCTATTCTGATTTAAAATAGAATTGTATAGCCTTCCTAGAAACATGAACAGCCAAGGGTCTGGAAATTTTGTTAAGATAGGAATCTACATCCTGCTAGTTCTGTGTATATATTTTTAAAATATGGTCTTCTAGTGTGATGAAAGTTGGAACCATAAAAAAGTTTGTAATAAATAATCCATTCCTTTATTTTTAAAATTCAGAAAAGGATTAGAAAACATTTGTTGAAAATTCTCTCCAATATAAGCTTTCAGAGTTTCTTAAGTATCTGCAAACAAATATGAATTTATCTAGAAGAATACGTAATTGTATATCTGTCACTTTATACTTTTTCAGACATGGTTATAAAGAATTTGTCCTCTTTTGTTTATTCTTGAAATTTTATAGATCTTATCTTGATATGGGTTGTAGCCCACTTTAGTTGGGAACTCAAGAGGGTGTCAGAATATTACACATGTCAAATTCCTTGTATTTTAATTGTGCATTTTCATAGATGGACCAGCTAATTCTCACTTTGAAGAAAGAGCTGTATTTGGTGGCTCTCCTGAACTCTGCATGGCAACCTTACACCAGCCTGCAAAGTGCATGTCTCCTTCCTCACCAGTAGTGACGAGGTGGCCCACAGGGCCTCTGAGGAGATACTGGGAAATAAATGGCATTAGGTACAGGTGCTTCTACTTTTTAAACATTATAATATTAGCAAAAGTAAAGCAAATGAATGAATAATGTTTTTCAGTTTTTGTTTCTTAGTGCTAGGGATTGAACTCCATCTATCACTGAGCTGTGCTGTCATCCCTTTTCAAAAATTTCAAGACAGGGCCCGCTGAATTGTCCAGGCTGGCCTCAAACTTGAGACCCTCCTGCCTCAGCCTTCTGAGTAGCTGGGATGAGAGGTGCCACTGCACCTGACTCTACTTGATTTTTTTAAGGGGTGGTGGAGTGTGGCAAAGGCCTGAGACAACTCGAGAAGTTGTTAGTTTTTGAAGATCTTTTTAATGACATCATGGTTCTTTTCTTTTTAAATTTTGTTAGTATATGTTTGCAGTACATGCAGTCATCTTGGGGATTAGGTATCTGTACATACTATAGCTTCTTTTTTAAAGAAATTCCTTTCCTTTTCTCTCCCTCTTCCTTCCCTCATCCTCTAACTCCCCCATCCTGTTTTTCATTCTTGTTGATATTATTAATCCTAGCTGATGTTGTGGTGTATAATGTTTACACAAATTGAGTTTGTTAGGTGCCAGTACATGACATATCTTTATTCATTTCCCCTTCTTCTCCTCCTCACCCCCACCCTTAATGACATTCCTTAAAAAGTAGAATTTCTTGAAAAGCTCAGCAGTAGACTGAATATCTCAGGGTGGGCGCCGAGGTAAGGTATTTTGCACATTCGGAACCCAGCTTTCCACAGAGAGAGGGAAGGAGACCCATAAAGGTCTGTCGGCAGCCTGGCTGCTGCCAGAGTCTGTCAAACGCATTAGTGCGGTTGCACCTCTCCCTATTTATTGTGCGTAACAGTTGAAATAACGGGGTAGAGCGTGGAGGTTGTGTTGGTACTTCCCTTGGTTGGTAAGGCTGTTTGGCTTGTTCCTTGCTTTCTTTGAGCAGATATTGCTGGTGATTTCAAAGAGCAGTTGGAGGCACTGATTCCATATGTATTAAACCCATCTAAGTTAATGGAAAAGGAGATCAACGGCTCAAAGGTCACCTGCCGGGGACTGTTGGAGTATTTTAAGGTAAATACGGGTTATAATATCTAAACTGTTTGATTTTTTCATGAAGCCAATCTAGCTTGTAAACTCCCCCACATTTCAATTTATGGAACCTTACCACATTTCTTGAGAGGTACTTTGCGACCTCAGTGTTGTCCCGGAGTGGGCCACTGGATGGCAGTGTGGGTCTGAGAACAAATGGATGTTCTTTCACTCTCTCAGAGGGGTGAGTACTGTGGCTAAAGGAAGATTGTTCCTCAAGGAAGATGGTGTGCACAGGAGGTGGTTAGGAAGTTGCTGTGAGTAGGAGACGGCACCTAGATGGGACACGGCTGCCTCCAGGTGGACGGCCTCTGACCACAGGTCGTGGTGAGGCCAGTGTGCATGGGGAGTCGGGAACCTCGCCTCCCTAGGCTTGTGCTGCTTGACATTTTTAGGTCACTAAAAATGCTAACATGCATTCAGAGGTGTGTTGTGTTTTTGCTAATTCCTAGTTATTGATCTAGGTCTTTAGGAAAGTGTGGTTGTATGGTTCCTGTTTCCAAAAGTTAAAGTGTGAGTTAAATATGACAGAATGGCATTTTTCATAATCATTTTTGTGTTTGTATTCTAAAGGCATATATTAAAATTTATCAAGGAGAAGATCTGCCTCATCCCAAATCCATGCTGCAGGTAAATTAGTGCTGTGATATCCTAAATGACATCCTTTAGTTGCTTGAGTTCACTCCGATATGATAAAACAGAATCTTGTAAAGAGAGAGAGAGAGTAAGAGTAATCTTAGCATTTGGGAGGCTTGGCTGGAGGATCACCATGAGTAACAGCCTGCATTACATAGTTTAAGATAAGCCTGAAATATATAAGAAAAAAATGAAATTGTTCTTCTAGCCCATTATCTGGAGGTCTCTGGAGCTATAGCACATTTGTCTCAGTGCAGCTGCCTTCTGGTGTTCTTGTCAGTGCTCACAGTGGTTTAGTTACACAAACAGCCTCTCCTCACTGGGCTTGAACCTAGGTGAAAGGTAGCCACTGTTGCATCCTGGTTATCTCTAGCTACTTTAGTAGTACAAGTCCCAAGTGACCTATGTAGTCTTTTGGCTTTTTATTTTCAGTTAAAAGATGTCATTTGCTTCAGACATAATTTCTGACTTTCATGTGCTGAACAGGAGAGCACTTACTGGGCTCGGGAGATAGCTCAGCGGCACAGTGCCTGCTTGGCAAGCGTAAGGTCTTCAGTTCGATTTCTAGTGTGCCCTCACCCTCCAATTTTACTGCCAAATAGGAATTTTTTTTTCCTGCAGTACTAGGTATAGAATCGTAGGGTATTCTGCTACTGAGCTGCATCCCAAGGCCCACTTTGACTATTTCAAAAGTTTTTTTTAGCAAAACAATTTAAGCCAGACATGGTGGTGTATGGCTATAATCCCAGCGCTTGGAAGGCTGAGGTAGGAGGATCATTGTGAGTTTGAGACCAGCCTGGGCTACATAGTTCAGGGCCAGCCTGAACTACATGCAAAACCCTGTCTTATAAAAACAAAGAAAAAAATTAAAGTAGTTTAATGGGAAAATGTCCATGACAAATTTTCAGGGATAGTAGGACTGCCCTTTGAAGACGGGACATTGATTTCTCTGTCAGAAAGCCATTGTGTAACTCATCCCGAGGCTTCCAATATGATATTATTTCCTTGTATTGCCACAGGTCCAGTATTGTTTCGTTGGCTGCTAGTTGTCATCTCACACATTCATTTGTTGCAGGGTTCATAGAGGGATCAGATCTCTGCAGTATTCCTTGAATATGTCTGCTACTATTTAATTTCACGGATCACTTCTTGTCCCTTAATTTCTTTATGGGCATTGCAAGAGAATAACCTTCCCCAAGGTGTCTACTAGATAGGCCCATCTCTGAGCCTTTTCCTAGATATTTGTGTTGAGGCAAAGCCTTGCTAAATTGCCCAGGCTGGCCTCAAACTCACGATTTTCCTGCCTCAGCCTTCTGAGGAGCTAAAATTACAGGTATGTCCCAGTGTGCCTAACCTCAAATATTAGTATCTTTAGTAGCAAAACATTTTCACAAAGGTATCTAGGTCCTGGCACTCACATTATAAAGGTAAGCTTTCTTTGTATCTATAGTAAAATCTTGATTTGTGAGCATAATTTGTCCCAGAAACATGTTTGTAATCCAAAGCACTTGTTTCAAAGTGAATTTCTCCATGAGACATAATGGAAACTCAGATGATTCATTCTACAACCCGAAAATATTTATATACAAGTGATTGCAATACTGTAATAAAATACAAACTAATAAAGTACAAAATAAAAAGACAGATAAACCTCCACGTGGCTGATGTGAGGGCGATGAGAAAGGAGGGTTATTGTGTCGAATGATTTTCACCATCACTAAGGGAATCACCGCTGCATATTGGCTCGGTGGAATCTCTCTTTTTGTGCAGCTTTAACAAGGAACCTATCCGATGACACTTGCTTTTGCCTTTTTTTGAGAATTTTGTGGAAATGTGAGATTGCATTGTCATTAAACAGGTTCATAGCCTTATTCAAGTGGTGCTTTTCTCCAGAATGCTGCACTGTTTCCCACATTTTGCACACTTCCCTGATCTCATTTGAAGTGAGGGACTCCTCTAGCTTGGTCTTCTCCTTTTCTGCAGATGAGATTTTCCTAAGGCCTTGCTGTTGGGAGAGGAGCACCCACAGTCCTGGAGGAGTTGGGGGGGGGGGGAAGAAGCCCAGGCTCAGCTGTGATCTGGTGGTACCAGCATCACATGCTACTTGTATTGCAAGACATCACTCATTTATCAAGTTTGTATTTATTTGCACACTCAATTTTTTTTGTCTGTTTCCTTTTTATCGGTACCAGGGATTGAACTCACAACTGCCTGCTTGCAAGGCAGGCGCTTATGCCGCTGAACTAAATCCCCAGCCCCTTCAAGTTTGTACTTATTAGAAACATTGCTTGTCTTGTCTAACTTTTGCCGAGCAAGTTACCTGCAATCCAAGGTTTTACTGTTGCGCAGTTTCTCATTTGACTTGTGACCAGGCCTCCTGTAGTCCAGGCTGCCCTCTGACTCACTGTGTAGCCCAAGGTGGCCGTGAACTTGTGATTTTCCTGCCTCCGTCTCCCCAGTTCTGGTATTGCAAGCATTGCTGCAACTGGCTTTAATCTTATTATTTTTAAGAAACAAAAATAGTTTTGTTGTGTTGGGGGATGGAACCCAAGGCCTTGAATGTGCTAGGCAAATGGTCTGCTGTAGCCCGTACCTTCTATCATTGCCTTACATTTAAAATTAAAGGAAAGGAAATTATATATCCCTAGATTTTTTTGTTTTTGGTACCGGAGATCATGTGCTTACAATCATGTGCTTGCCAGGCAGATGCTTACTCCACTGAGCTAAACCCCTGGCCTCTCTCCCATGATTTTTGAGGGTGTGATTTATGCTAAAAATTCTTAGATCTAAGAATAGGTAGATGTAAATAGGTAAGAGTAGGTAGAAAATTTGGCAGAAAAAGTGTATTTTATTTCATTAGTTGAACTGTAAGGAAACCTACAAAATAGCAGAAGGCTAACAGAAAAGGGACAGTGGAGATTGAGGTAAGACAAGGTTTTTACTTGGTTATTTACAGGAGAATGTTACAAGAGAAGAATTCATAGTTGACACTTTACTTTTTTAAAAGGCCACCGCTGAAGCCAACAATTTAGCAGCTGCAGCCTCTGCCAAGGATGTTTATTACAACAGCATGGAAGAGGTAGGTGGCCACGCGCCTTTTTCTGCCATGTCTTCCGACAATGATGCCACAGAGCTGTTTCAGGTCATCGTGGCAGTTGGGGTCTTCAAGTTATTACCATTTCTGTCCAAGATTCTTTACAGCGTCACTGCTGTTTCAGGTTAATATTACCCTGGTTATTTAAGCCTGCTGCTCAGAGGAAGTGAACCTAGCCTTCATTGGCCTTGGATGTCTTTCTAAAGTTAATTTCTAATATTTTAAAAATTTTTCTGTGTCTTTTTGTTTTATGTGGTACTTGCTCTTGAAGAGATTTTCAGCCTAACATGTCTTTATTCTTCCTAGGTTTGTGGTGGGGAGAAGCCTTATTTATCTCCAGACATTTTAGAGGAGAAGCACTGTGAATTCAGACAGCTTGCTCTGGACCAGTTTAAGAAGACCAAGAAGATGGGTGGGAAGGATTTCAGTTTTCGTTATCAGCAAGAGCTGGAGGAGGAAATCAAGGAACTCTATGAAAACTTCTGCAAACACAATGGCAGCAAGAATGTCTTCAGCACCTTCCGAACCCCTGCAGTGCTGTTCACGGGCATCGTGATTTTGTATATAGCCTCTGGCCTCACTGGCTTTGTGGGTCTTGAGGTTGTGGCCCAGCTGTTCAACTGCATGGTTGGCCTACTGTTAATAGCGCTGCTCACTTGGGGGTACATCAGGTATTCCGGTCAGTACCGTGAGCTGGGCGGAGCTATTGATTCTGGCGCTGCATATGTGTTAGAGCAGGTAAGTGATGCCGGCTGAGGGGTGGGGGTTGATGATAGGTGGGTGTTTGTGCTTCTGGTGTAAAACATAGCACACCAGTTTTGAAGAATTTCATTGCAAAAAAAAAGCCCATGAAAAGCTTGTTCATTTTTTTTTTCTGGTGGGCTTTACATTTTATTCTTCAAGATACTAGTATTTCTTCCTAGTATTTTTTCCATGCTTAAGAATGGCCTATTAGTGTAAAACATTCTAGTTTAGGCATTGTCTTCCTCACAGGAAACTTTAATTATGTGCTTTTCAGGTACTGTTCCTGTGCGATTTTCCCCATTTCCATCCCAGGATTAGTTTGTTTCACTGAAAAATCAAGAGCTTTGTAAAAAAAACCATGTAGTTTGTAAAATGTTCTACTGTTGGATTAGAAAATAGGTGGCATCCTTCATTTAACATCTTCCAAAGAGCCAATGGCTGCTGACATTGACGTGATCCATAGATTTACAGATGTTTGATAGTAGTTTATTTCTTGTTCTGAGTGACATGAGCAGACCAGTTGGGTCAGTGTCCTGGGGAGCCAGGGGAGTCTCCCAACTCCGCTCCCAGGGACAGAGCTTGTGTTCTGCTGATGGGGTGAGCAGATGCCCCAGCTTTCCTCTCCCTGTGTTCTTACCCCTTTGCTTTCCATAAGACACCTGTGATGGAGCCAGGGATTCCACATTTGAAAGTTTATCTGCAGGGACTCCTCTCTTGCTACTGTATTATATTTTATTAATTTACATGCTTATTAAATGGACTTTTGCAGGCTTCTTCCCACATCGGCAATTCTACTCAGGCTGCTGTGAGGGATGCAGTTGTTGGGCGGTCTCCTGCAGATAAGAAAGCTCAGTAGCCGAAACCTGAGGACCCAGCAAGAGCCCGAGCAGCCCCTAGAACCTCCGTTTCTGCCATGGCCACAGGTCCAGGTCTAGAGAAGCAGCGGACCTGAGACCATCCAGGAGAGCTGCAGCGGCAGGACACTGTAATAAACGAGCTGACCTCCTCCGTGGCTGCTTCTTAAACATGCTTCCATTTCTGTTGGAAGTGTTCTTTTTCTTTGCTGTTAGATCCAAACTTAGGCCTGTTACCTTATTACGCTCTGCTTTGTGCACTTTATGGGAGAAAAAGTAAAAGGAAAACATGGAATTGCAGCTTTTAAGTCTCTTATGTGCCACCTAGTGCCTTTTCAGATGAAATCTGTGCTTTTTGTGGACTAACGGGGAGGGTGGAGGATAACCTGATGAAATATGCTGATCAGAGGTGAGACTCAGCAGTTCCCTTACACGTTCCTCTTAAGAATTCCTTTTTTAAAAGTTTACAAAACTTGGGAAAACTTCAAAACTAAAGATGAACTGCAATTATGCCATTATACTTTAAAGACCTTATTTGGAATGCTGGTGTTCTGTTTGTCATGGACTGTGGGAAACCATGTATGTTAATGTACCGTTCTCTGAGATGGAAGGGCTTTTACTTGATCCACAGCAGTTTTATTGAACCTGGTCTCTTGTCTGTCTGTCTCTCTGTCTTCCTCTCTCTCTCTCTCTCTCTCTTTTTTTTTTTTTGGTTATTATAGCTTCTTTTCAGAAAAGAGGCAAATGTGCCTTGGAAGGCCAGAGTGGCTCATAATGGAAGGAATGAATTACTATAAGAAAAAACTGAATTTGAATGAACGTGGGACCTCTAATAAATTGAATGTGTGCCTCTGTCAGAGCCACCATGGGTTTCTGTATGTTTATATGTTACAACTCTCATAATTTGCCATTTGACAGCTTTTTTTTTTGAGAATTCTGTGTAAGTACAAGACTTTACTAAGGGTTAGAGAAAAGACATTACCAGATTTTACTGCCTTTGGTTAATCTCTTATTTCATGTGGCCTACCACTAGTTAGTAAATAGCCCACTTAAGGTCCCTGCTAAAACTGTATTTTTATTCTCTGTGCATTGATGTTTTTGATGAAACTAAAGTCATTTAATGACTCTTCTTTTAGATTTACAATCTGGTAGCTTTAAAACAACTTTGGTTTAGGAAGGACCAGTGCCTTACCCAAATGTAGACAGTATCTAGAAGCATCTAAAAATTCTTTCTGAAAAAATTTACTATGATTGTGTGATTAAAAAACTGTATGTTAGTTGCTTTTTCCTTTGATTTATAATGGTGAGTTCTTATAAATTTTAAAGCTTACTGAAATTTTCCTGCCAGTATTTATATAAATATTCAGGTATCTGAGCCTTTTTATTTTGAAATAATTTGAATGTTGTTGTGGAAGGGAAATAGGGCTTAGACAGAATCTTTGTATGAATTTCATATACATGGAATATGAATAGAAGGTAGGAAAAAGAAAGTCTCTTCTAGCATTTAATCTGTTTCTCAGAGAATTTTCTTTTGACTAACACTATACCACGCAAGTATTTCGTAGTCTTTAATTAATTCTAAGCATTTTATATATTTTTCTATTTATCTCCCTAAAGTGCCTGATATTTTATTCACTTTTTGTTACATTTAGAAAAATTTCGGCTTGTTCTAGAAACTGTTCACTTGCTTATGAACGAAGCCAGGCTTTGAGCTAATGAACTGAAACTTGCCTTTGGAATGTTGGTGCCTTTTCAAGTGGCTTTTCATCTCTGTGAAGGTTCCTTCTTGCTGGCAGCCTGCACAGATACTGAGATACTTAGTTTTAAGACATTTTGTAAGTAAATTTATGAGTTTCAGAATAATTGTCCAAAATGGTTCCACAAAAATAGATATAACTAAATTTCATCCTAAAACTAAAATGTTAGGTGTTTAAAGAAAGTGAACTTACGATTTTGTAGTTTTAGGATGGTGTTAACTTTAATTTGAACACTTCTGTTCTTGTTTTATAAATTTATACAAGCTTGGTTTAATAACTTCAGGGGAGCTCACCCCTTTGTGTGGGTTGTTTTTTGTTTTTTGGGGTTTTTTTTTTGATACTGGGAATTGAACTAGAACCTTGTGTTTCCAGGCAGGCGCTGTGCCGCTGAGCTATATTCCCAGGCTCTCTCGTCTTTATGATTTCTTCTGCCTCTGAAAAGTGGTTATAAAGTTCTTCGGCCTCTTTTCTGTTTTAATAGTAGTTAGATAATTTTATATCAGCTTTTCCAATGAAAAATAGCCTCTCATCACTGGCTATAGATAGTACTGGCAGATTTATTTGCAGGTTATGAAGAATACTTTTGCCTGTTATCTTCTCTAGCCTTTCTTTGTGGGTCAAGGACATTGTATGGAAGACAGACTGCAGATACTTGCTGCTCTGGCAGTTGCAGGGCACCTTCCACATCGTTAATCTGCACAGTCAGACAATATATGGGACAATATATGGGCAATATATGGAACACACTTCAATTTACATACATGGAGATTTAAAAAATTTCCAGGGCCAGGGGTTTAGCTTAGTGGTGTAAGTGCCTGCTTGGCAAATGTGAGGTCATGAGTTCGATCCCTAGTACCAAAAATAAAAAAATTTTTTTCAGTAAAATAACTTTTTAACAGAAGTTAATCAGAGATGTGCACCTGTAATCTCAGCACTGGGGATCTGAGGCCATCCTGGGTTACAAAGCGAGTTCCAAGCCAGTCTGAACTGCATAGTGAAAGCTTGTCTCCAAAAAAGATTGACAAGTTTTTTTTTTTTGGTGCCGGGGATTGAATAAGATTGACAAATTTTTTAAAAAGTACTTCCAATTTGTTTCTTATAGTAAAAATAATAAAATTAAAAGCTTTTATTCTTTCCCTGAGAAATCTCCCTAGATTAGGCTTAGAAATGGTGAGGACAAACTACCGAGTTATGATCAAGTATCTTTAGAATTTTTTTTCTTTTTTCTGGGCCAGGGTCTCACTATGTGGTTCAGACTGTCCTTGAACTCACTCTGTAGCCCAGACTGGCCTCAGACTGGCAGCAGTCCTTTTGCCTCAGCTTCCAAGTGCTGGCATTACAGCATGTGCCACCATACCCAGCTACAATCATTTTTCAAAAGCAATTTGCCAAAAATTCTGTTTGTTCATGTTGTTTTTTTAAAAAAAATTTTATTTTAGTACACAGGGTCTTGCTCTGTACTTCAGGCTGACCTTGAGTGCTGGAATTACAGGCATCTGCTACTGTGCCTGGCCTGTGGAAATTTATGTTTGGATACTTTAAACTTGGTAAAATGCCAATGAATATTGTCTCTGTTTTACTCCTGTTCTTTTTTTTCTCTTACTTTGGGCAAATAAATAAAAACACTGCCTTGTGCTTACAGTTTCCCTGGCAGGTCACACACAGTATTCTACCTGGCTTACAAATTTGGTACTTTGGGTAGGGTTAATTTGGTAAGTAAATATGAATTACAGAGAATTAGGTTGATTTCATCCCTGGCAAAAGCATAAAAGAATTTGTTTTCCTAGGATTTAATTTTAAAAATGATGGAACTTACATAGAAGTCATCGTGATACTACTTTCCTTTCCTTTTCTCTTTTCCTTTTTTTTCTTTCTTTCTTGGCAGGGTATCATTATCTAGCCCAGGCTCCAGCTTGTGGCCATTCTCCTGCCTCAGCCTCCCAAGTGCTGATACTATAGGAATATTCCACTGCCCTTGGCTGTCGTGTTTGTTTCTTTAGAACTGTTGGATATAATTTTGGATGATTTAATGTTTCTATTGAAAGAAGTCAACATGATCCAATAAAACTTTATTCTGGATAAGAAATATGAAGATAAGGTTCAATTTTACAACTATATGAGGTTAACTTTGTTTTTTGGTACCAGGAATGGCACTCTTGACCTCATGCTTGCCAAGCAGGCATTGTGGCACTGAGCTGTATCCCTGGCCCAGTGTGGTTACCTTTTTAAAATGTCATGATAAAAGACATTTGTAGCTGACTAGTTGTCCTCACGATAGGTCATGCTGCAGTCCCACTTTGGGCAATAATTCTCATTTATTTACCTTGGGGTACATTAGACTTAACTAGGAGGTTTATTCAAAAATTCAGATTCCCAGAGCATGTCTCAGGTGGTCTGGGCCAGGGCCCTGAAATCTTCACTTTTATAAATGTCATTGTCAGTGATTCAGAGACAGCAGAGGGACAGCGACTCCAGGAGGTGGGAGTTAGCAGTGAGAAAGTGCCATTCAGTATTGTCCGAGGCAAGTGGGCAGCTTTTACCTGAGATTCAGGCGGGCGGTCTACTGTCAGGTGAGACCACCGCCTGTCTCCTGTGGTCAGTAATGTGCCTTTGCTCCAGAGGATTGTCTAAGCTCCTACAAGTCTGTTTCACAAACGGTCATGGTGCCTTCTAGAGAAAAAGAATTAGCAAGTATTGTTTATTAGCAGATGTAATTAGCGTTTTAAGGAAAGGCAATTTTGATAGCTGTTTTTTTTAAAGCCAAATTAAGTACTATGACTCAAATCTCTAAATCTTCCCCACAGAGAAAACCTTAAACTGCAAATGCAATGAACAAAAAGGAAGGAAGGACTGTAACTTGGATAATTAGTGCCCTAAGTACCCTGTCACAGGTACTTTTCAAGATAGATCTAAAGGCAGAAAAGTTGTGAAAGAAACTCTATTTGGGAAGGAATTTCATGCACCTGGCTGAATACTGCTTTTCCACCCAAAGGGAGGTTATACTGATTCCCAAAGCTTTCTAACTCAGATGAGTAAGTGCTATCCTGAGATAAGCCTTAAAGGACTTAAATCTTGAACAAATACATATTTTCCGGAGTTTTCCTTCAGTTTTCTTAACAAAAGGTCGTAAAAGTACTTTCTGCTATACCTTTGCCTTTGAATAGCTTTAAATTTTAATATAGTTTTTTTAAAATGCAGTGGGATGCGATTATGCTCTAGTATGTTAAAAGCATGTTTCTGTTTCACCTATAAGATCATTTAATGGAATAAAGATCACAGCACCATATGTGTGGTTTTGTTCTTTGTCGTGGGCAGGTCTTTGAAAGGGAAGGGGGCTTGGCAGAGGGATTGAGTCCTGAGGGGGTGGCTGTCTCTGAGGTAAAAGGTGGTGGTGGGGTTGCCTGGAGCCATGGGTCAAAGGTTCCTCTGTGGACGTGGTGAGGGCTGGAAGTGAAGCTGCTGAAAGAGTCCCCTCTCACTGGTGACCTCGCGGCAGCAGGGAGGTGGCGTTGAACTCATACCCTCAGATGTACCCTGCATTGCCCTAGAGTGGAAAGGTTTTTCCCCAGTTGAAAACGCTGGGGCCAGCAGCCTCTTCATCCTGGGTGCTGCGCTGGGTTCTCCGCAGGTTAATGGGGGTGGGCTGAGAGCCAAGGTCTGGTACTCGGGTGCCATTGTCAGTGCCAAGTCCTCACCAGCATAAGCTGGGCAAGAGAGATGGAGCGGGGCACTGTGCTCCTGTGCAGATGAGAAGTCAAGCAAATGAAGAATTTCCTTCGGTTATCCTGTATTGTTGCTTCTCAGCCTTTTGGCTAGAATCAAGTGATTATCCTATTCCAGCTTGCAAAAAACAAGTCTATTTTATTTTTACTTTTGAGACAGGATCTCACTATGTAGCCCAGGCTGGCCTTGAGCTCAGAGATCCTCTTTTAGCCTCCTGAGTGCTGGGGTTACAGGACTGCACCACACCTGGCCATTCCAAGTGCATTTAAAATTTTTTCACTTCTATTTTTGTGGTGTTTCTGTTTGCTGTGGTTGAATGTAGGGCTTTGCATCTTACCACACGAAAGGGTCTTGGAGAGCACAGACCTGTATGTTTTTCAGTGGCTCGGTGTGCTTTAGGGTCTCAGGTGTTAGTGGTCTGACTATGAGGAAAACTGAGAGGAGGCGGCTCCGTACTTGAGGCTGTGACTGCCAGGGTTGTGTGCCAGTGCCCCACAGTTACTATACTATGTATCACAAACTTACACCAATGTGAAAATCACAGATTAAAAAAAGGCCAGCTCTAAATAGCTTAATTCATAAATTGTAGTTGGAAAAAAGTTAGGTTTTTTGTTGTTTTGTTTTGCTTTTGGTATTTTTTGGATTTTTTTTCATCCTTTTTTCAGGCAAGTTTTCACTATGGTTCAGACTGGTTTTGAACTCACTTTGTAGCCCAGACTGACCTTGAACTTGTGGTGATCCTCTTGCCTCAGCCTCTGGAGTGCTGGAATTATAAGCATGCACCATCATGTACCATCATTGTGATTTTGAGATTTTTGAGAGTCTTGCTGCGTAGGCCAGACTGGCCTTCAACTTGTATTGATCCTCCTGCCTCAGCCTCCTGAGTGCTGGGATTGTAGGCATGCAACACCATGCTTGGCTTTGGAAAAAGTTTTTGTAATCATGATGAGGGACAAAACTGATGCCAGGCACTGGAGGGACTCAGATGCCAGCCGGACTCTTTATCAGTGAGCCATTGCCGATTGTCACTGTTGCAAATAATCTCCATGTCTTCAGAGAGGGCAGGCACAAATGTTCTAGACTTATGTCACCACACTGAACTATCCCCTAGGAAACAAATGCTTTTTATGTTTTGTTTTTTCCTCTTGACCTCCAGCCTATTTAAAAATATGTGTCACTCTCTGAGACAAGACTCCAGCGCCCTGCAGGCAGGACTAGCCGGGGAGCTGGGACTCGGGTAACCAGCCACACCGGGGTCACAGGTGTCTCCAGCTGGCCTGATGGGCAGATTTACCAGACCCAAATGAAACACTCCTGGCCAGACAAAAATAAATACTTGTCACCAGTTCCCCAGACGGGCCACTTAGAACTGAGAAAGCCTGGAACAGTTTCCAGGTTAAAGATTATGGAAAGCTTTCTTAAGAAATAGAGATGGTTAAGCTGTGTATTTATACAGGGAGAGCTCTTCTGTCTTTCCCACAGGATTTGTATCCTCTTCTGCAGGACTTGAAGGGTATCAGAGAGAGAAAGAGGATTCCAAAGAACATTATACTTCACCTTTTTCTTTCATAAAAGCCTGATCTTGCTGATCTAAGCAAACTCCGAGTTGGCACAGTGACTCTCCACAGCGCCTGGACACGTGGGAATCCTGTATTTAGTTGGCTGGTGGGCATGTTTTTCCCATAGCTCCTGTAGTTCCCGTTCAGAGCAGCAATTAAGCATCAGGGCCTGAGGTCATCACAAAACCCAGGCTTTCTGTCCCTGTGTGCAGAGAAGCACTACATGTAACCTCCCCTAAATACAGTCCGCCTGCTGTCTCCCTGCCCCTCTCTTGCCCTGGCACTGTCTGTCTCACCCCATCTGCTCAAGCTGCTCAGGTTCCCCCTGGGGCCTCAAGTCTGGCCTTGGACTACCTTTTACCTTTCTCAGTTGTTCCTTAGGGAGTTGGCATAGCAGTGGGTTCTCCTGAGCATCCATCTTCCTCAGAAAGCAGAGCTGAGACATAATAAAACCTGAAGACACGACGAATGAGGTTCCACAGCTATGGTGTGCAGAAAAACCTGGAAGCTTTGGTGCCAGATACTAGTTGGATCCTGTCTACCTGTCTACCTTCTTTTGGGCAGGTGGACTACAGTTTAAATGCGTCCTCCAAATTTCATATGTTGGAAATTGAGTCCTCAGTATCAGATGTTAATTGTGTTTGAAAGGTGAGACCTTTGGAGATGATGGCTTTACACACATCAGAGGGTTCCTCTACTCATACACTAGCAGGTTACCAAGGGCTGGCTCTGTTGTGAAAGTGAGCTCGCTCGCTAGCCCCTCTTGCCATGTGATGCCCCCGTCACATTGTGACGTAGCACAAGGCCCTCACCAGGTGCCAAGCAGATGTCAGTATCACGCTATTGGACTTCCCAGTCTCCAGAACCATGAGCCAACTAAACTTTTCCTGATAAATCACCTAGTCTTTGGCATAAGTGAAAGGCAACAGAAAACAGGCTTAGAGGGTGTTTTGGGTAGTCTTGCTGGTAACTGGATCATGGGTGTAGACAGACACTCATCAATGGACTGGCCCACTGATGGATTTATAGCTAAATGTGATCTTGGGAATTACTCACTGAGACCAAGAGGCCTTTCGTACAGAGCTCTGCTTTCAAAACTGTGCATCTTACTTTCTCGTTAACTGAGACACAAGACTCGACACCCACAACTCTAAGAAGGAAAGGTTTCTTTTGACTCACAGTTTGTAGATATTTCATAGTTGGTTGGCTCCAAAGCAGGACAGCACGGCAGAGGTGCACAGCAGAGGAGAAACAGCTTGTGGCATGGCGCAGGAAGTAGAGAGACCAAGGGTGGAGAGAGATGAAGAAACACTTCTAGGCCTTGTTCCTGTGACCCAGCTCCTCTGACTAAGCTTCATCTTCCAACATTTAGCTGTAAATCCACCAGTGGGCCAGTCCACTGATGCACAACCTCCTCCCAAGAGCCCTAGCTACAAATGCATGGGTTTTTTGGGGGCGGGGGGGGGGGAGCATCCAGATACAAACCCTAACATGCACGAAAAGTAAAAAAATATCCTTCAGTACAACATATACTTGCAGTAAAATTACACCCCTACCCCAGCATGCTTTTTGTTTTGTTTTTATCTGGGGCAAAAATGGGGGCAGAGAGGAAGGAGGTAACATCTGGACCCATCTGCAAACAGGGTGAGAGGCAGAAGTAGTCTGGTGTCCTCAAAATGGAACCTCTTCCTCCTGGTTTGGGTGACTTCAGTCTAGTGATTAGTGCTCACTGTACCTAGCAATGGGTTGGCTGAGTGACAACACACATAAAATGCAGGAATTTTAGAATGATGCCCCTGACTCTCCGTCTCAAGCAGCAGGTGAGTATCATGTGAGGTTGAGGAGCACATGCTTTTCACGTTAGTAACATGGACAGATCAAGGATTTACCACATGCCAGACACACAGCTAATCATTTTATAGGCATCATCCCATGTGTTGTTCTTTGGGGAATATTATATGCTTACATCATCCCCAACTTACAGATGAGCAAACTGAGACTCAGGGAAGAAATCATACCATGGATCCTACAACTGGCAAGGAGCAGGGCCACAATTTGTCCGTAGCATCCTGATTCTAAGTGCTGGTACTGAGTGACAGGAATATAGAGTTGAACAACTGGTTCTCATCTTAGGGACTCAGGGTCCAGTGCAGAGGAAGGGCTTGTGTTTGGTTATTCGACCCATCCATTCACTTATGGACTGTTTACTGTGTGCCAGGTTTTTTGAAGGCATTGGGGAAGTCCCACGGCTTAAGCCCCAATAATTTTATAAAGTACGGTATTTTCTACTGGATCCTTCCTTGCCTGGATCCTTCCTTGCCTTTTAAAGTTAACTTTATTTTTAAAAGATTTTATTTTATTTCTGAGACAGGATCTTGAAATGCAGTTGAGAGGTGGCCTTGACTGAGTACACAGCCCAGACTGGCCGCGAACTCCTGCGATTCTGTTTCTGCCTCCCAAACGGAGGGATTACAGGCGTGAACCGCAGCACCAGGCAAGTGTTTTTAAATACTGGACGCTGATGGACAGATGCACGGGCGCCTCTGACCAGCAGGCGGAGGGGCGGCGTGAGGGCAGCTGGAGCACCCGGTTGTCCCCGGAGGTAGGGGACCGGCCTCAGCCAGGGTCCGCGGAGGGGCCTGCTGCCCGGGCTCCCGGCCACTGAACCAGGCCGCTGCGGGGGCGGCCGGCCTGACTCCCGAGTGCGCCGGGCGGGTGCACGGTTCTTTCCGGTAAGGGCGAGACGCTCTGCTGTGCCGCCCCGGGTCCCCAAGCGCAGCCGAGACTCCAGGTGTACCGAGCGCCCGGTCCGTCCAGCGGGTGGCCCCGCCCCCTGCTCCGGGGGCGTGGCCAAGGATGGGGGCGTGGCCGCCGCGGGGCGGAGCCGGGGCGCCTCTCAGAGGCTGCCTGCCGGGGAGACGCGGCGCAAACGCACCCTGGTGTTCCCGGTGAGCCTTCCCTGCTCCCCGCGGGGGATCGGGCTGTGCAGAGACCAGGGCGGGGCCGGGAGGGGGCCGGCGAGAACCTCGGAGGGAGTCGGGGGGTCGTTCCGGGAGACGCCAGAGACGAGACAGACCCTGCACGGCCTTTGGGCTGGAAGCCGCGGGCCCCGGATCCCGGGGACGCTGCTCAGTCGGTGACATCATGATCTTCTGCTCCCTCTGCCTCAGGGACCTGCGCCGCTGACAGAGCGAAGGCGATCCTGACCGCGAGGGTCCGCACGCGAGAGAAGATGCCGGCGCCCACTGTAAGTGCGGGGCGAGGGCGGGGTCGCGTCCCTCTTGGAGCTCGACTTATTTGCAAGGAGGATGCTTGTGGACGTGGGCAGCGCCACCCAGTAGGCTGCTGGGCATCAGGTGTCCGTGGAGGGTCAGGTGTCTCCGCGCTGACCCCTCCTACCAGGCAGGTCGGGAGGCCACGCTGCCCCACATTCCCACCTCTGGCCTTCCCACTTTCTAATCTGCGAGGCTCATTAGACCCTCCCTCATCCTGGCGGGACCTTCACAGAGTGGCTGAGGCCCCCCTGGAGTTGAATTCCTACTGAGCACCCCACTGTCAAACTCTGGTCAAGTTCAAATTTACTCTTTTACCCAGGGTGAAAATTTTATCGCTTAAAAGGCAGGAAGTGCTCGGCACAGATCACAGCCCGGCACAGATTCTGAGGGCCCCGGAAAGAAAAGGGTTTACAGGGTGCCTGGCCCTGGGGCTTCCCTAGCATATTTGACACCCGGAGGGTTCACTTTTTGAAGCCCTTTCACTTCTCTGGCATTATTTTCAGTAGTAGTCTAGAAATGAATAGTGATAATGAATGTCTTGAAAAGAGATGCAGACAGTGAACACTTTCTTTTTTCGAATGTTATATACGTAGTCATGCCTGTAAAAAAAGTAATGAGGAATTAATTAAAACGTGATGTTGCAAAAACAAAAAATAATGAGTTAACTGTATTAATGTATGTTGGAACAAAAGGGAAACATTTATTCTTACATGTGGGTTGGTCACAGAAATGAATAATTATAATGCTACAACTTCTGTTGCAAAACTTCTGAAAGTCCAAGACTTCATCAAAAGTTGACCTGTATATTCATGCTCAATATTCCCTAGAATTTGATTTGCTAATCCCCATCTTTGTTAACAGCTTGATTAAAGAATGTTTTTATTAATTTTAATTTGGAAAACTTTTTTTTCCCCCGGAAACAACACTTAATGGATTAGGAAAAGCCTTAAATATAGGTATCATTTTGGCAGAGATTCATAAAAATCTCATCCATAATAAATTCCAAGAATTGTAAACAACCTATGCTTTTTTAAAAAACTAGTTCTAGTTGCTTTTATTTTTATTAAAATTTTTCTGGAGACAAGGTTTTGTTATGTTGTCCAAGCTGATCTTGAATCCTTCTGGTTCAGCCTCCTGGGTATCTGGGACTAGAGATGTGCACCACCACATCTGATTTCTGCTGGTTTTTAAACATCTCCACATTTAAAAGCATTTTCGGTAAAACTGTAAACCAAAAAGTGCACCATACATTTTTATTTTACTTGACAAAATTCTCGAGTTTTTCTTACTCTGTGAAAATCCGCCAAATGGGTAAATGATTGTGAAATTTGACATTTGTTTCATCATTGTGCTAGACCAAGAGTATTAATCACACTTTAGTTTCTCTGGTACTGTTTTGTTTTCTTTTTAAACTCAAAATGTGGGACCATAGGGTTGGCCACATAAAGTGTGTATAAAGTGAGCCGGAATCATACTATGCCGTTAGGAACAGACGGTTTATGGAGCTGAGTCTGTGTGTGCCTGGGGCTGACTTTGCAGCTATGTTATTCCATTTAACTGCCATGAAAAGGACAGTGGTTTTAAAAGAATAAGAAATAAAATTGTGCTAATTGGAGGTGTGTATATATATATATATATATACATATATATATATATATACATTTTTTTTTTTTCTGTAATGGTGACTCCTCTCCTTTCTGGCTAGATATAACTGATCACTCTTCCTTTGTGCCAACAATTGTAGTCACTCTATAAAAAGGGCTATGGCTGTGGAGGCAGCAGCAAGTTGTTCTGAGGAGACCCCCTTCTTCTTTTTGGGGGGGTTGGGGATTGGACCCAGGGACTCAGGCATGGGAGCCAAGCACTCTACCACTGAGGCATATACCCCTATCTTTTTTTATTTTAAAAAGAAGAAAGAATAAAAACAATGATACAGAATTTCAAAGAAACATAATGGGAGGTTAGCAATTGCACGATTATAAGATACAGACATGAATAATCAAACAATGTAAGTATAATCCATTCTTTTTGGTGAACTAATAGAGCTGATAGTATAATTATCTATCATATATATATCTGATATATATATATATATATATGTCATATATATATATAGCCGTCTTTCTTTTCTCTTTTCCCTCATCCCCATTGTTCTTGCCTTTTGGACAGTTTCTTCCCCTTTCACTTTCACAATATCTATTGTACATTTTGGATCTTATTCACTCTTTCAGTTTTTTAGATGAGGGAGATAATATGATGTTTACACATGTGAATCTTATTTATTTCACTTGTGAGTATGTTCTTAAGTTGCATCCATTTACCTATAAAATCCTTGAGTTTATCCTTCTTTATAGCTGAGTAGTACTCCATTGTATAAAAATACCACATCTTTTTTACCCATTCCTCGATTGATGGGCACTTGGGTTGTTTCCAAGATTTAGCTGTTACAAATTGTGCCACTGTAAAAATAGGTGTGCATATAATGCTGTGGTATGATATTTTCAGTTCTTCTGGGAAAATACCCAGAAAGGGAATAGCTGAGTTGAATAAGATCTCCAATCCTAGTTTTCTGAGGAATCTCCACACTGATTTTCACAGTGGTTGCACCAGTCTACACTCCCGCCAACAGTGGAGAAGTGTTCCTTTCCCCCCCCCCGCAGCCCCACCAGCATTTGTTATTGGTTAATTTCTTAATGACAGCCATTCTTTCTGGAGTGAGGTGGAATCTCAGTGTTGTGTTAATTTGCATTTCTTGAATGACCAATGACGTTGAATATTTTTTCATTATTTATTTGCTGTTTGTATTTCTTCATTTCAGATGCCCATTTTTAGATTGGGCCTTTGAATTTGGGGGCTCTGATTTTTTTTTTTTTTGGTTCTTTATATGTTCTAGATAGAAGTCCTTTGTTTGAAGAACAGTTAGCTAAAATTTTTTTCTATTCTGGGTAGTCTTTTCACTCTTCTGGTGATTTCTTTTGATGTGCAAAAACTCTTTAATAAGACGAGATCCCAATTATTGATTCTTTGAAGCACTTCCCATGCAGTTTGTGTTTTGTTACGAACTCTCTGCCTACTCGTGTGTCTTCAAGATTTCTATCTACTTTCTCTTCCAGTAGATTTAGTGTTTCTGTTTTAATATTTAGATCTTTGATCCAATTTTGACTTTAGATTAATATATGATGATAAACATGTGTATATTTTTATTTTTTGGCATGCAGAAAGTTTTTCCAGCACCATTTATTTATTAAAGAGCTAGCTTTCTTCCAGTGAACATATTTGGCCCTTTTGTCAAAGATAACGTGGCTGAGTATGTTTGTAGTTGTGTCTGTATCTTTTAATCTGTCCTACTGATCCTCAGGTCTGTTATTGTTTTGTTTTTTTGCCAGTACAGTTCATCATACTAGTTTTGTAGTATAATTTTAAGTCAGAGATTATGATGTCTCCTGCCTTGCCTTTGTTGCCCAGAATTGCGTTTTGCTAATCTAGGTCTCTTCTGTTTCCGAATGAATTTTAGGAAGGTTTTCTCTAGACCTGTGTGATATGCTGATGGTGTTTTGGTTTGGATTGCATTAAATCTGTACAACAGTTTTAGGAGTATGGACATTTTCTTTTTCTTTTTTGGGGGGTTTTTGTACCAGGGACTGAATCACGATCTTGTGCTTGCTAGGCAGGCCCTGAGCTATATCCCTGGCCCAGGATGGCCATTTTTACCATGCTACACCCCCATCTCAAAGGGTGAGTGGACCTGGTCAGGTGATCAGCCCTGGAGTTCTTGGGTGCAGAGGTGAGTCTCACCCTGTGGAGCAGAGCTGATCACCAACATAAGTGCCTTTGTGTGGATTAGTCCCTCATAAAGAATTAGCCTTTTTTTTTTTAAATAAGGAAGGAAAATTAATATTTGTATCATACCCAGTATGGGCCACAAATTGGGCCAGATGTCTTACATAAATTTAATCAAATTCACGCTATTCTATAAGGAAAGCGGTGTTATTATTTGTTATGTACATGTGAAGACCGGTGCTTGGGGAGGTTAAGTAACTCCCCCTGGTCACACAGAGGTACAGGGAAGACATCAGTGTGGGTCTGCAGGCCTCAAAGTCATGAGTTTTTCACTAAACCATGTCCGGCAAGGAAAGATTCGAGGAACCGTCCTTTTGTCCATGTGTTGAGTTCTAAGTAAGTGGACCACTCTGCCACAGTTTCTGTGTTTGCAATTTAATTCCAAAAAGACACATTTCTCTGTGTGTTTTGTATTCCCATATGCCTGAGTACCCACACCGTTGCCCACTGTATCATTAGGTTGCAGGTTCAGGCAGATCTGTGTTGGAAGTCTTGTCTTGAATCTGGGGGCTCTGAGACCTGGGGCAAGTTAACTTCCATTTCCGATTTCCAGTCTGTACAGTGGGACTCCAGGTGACATGTAAAAACCCCATAGGGCTTGGCAGTTCTGATCCATGAGGGGCTGAGGTTTTTCTCTGAATAACAGGCTTGCGGTTTAGCAGTCAAAGGTCTGGGAGGCCAGATGAGCTTTGCCTTCTTTTCCCAGGATGCCTGTGACCTTTGGGCTTCTGAGGCTGGGCCTGGTGCCCATTGGAGCTGCCACTGTCTCTTCTAGCTTGCAAGGAATCTTGGCCACAGGGCAGGAGGGGAAAGGGAAATGATTAGTCGGGCTGGTCCTCTCTATCCCTTCTCCACATTTTCCCTGGGCCGGCAAGTCCGGACAGTCTGGCCTGTTTTGTGTCTCTTGCATCCACCTAGCTAGCATGAGACAGGGTCTCACCGTGTAGCCCAAGCTGGCCTCGAACTCACAGCAGTCCTCCTGCCTCAGCTTCCCAAGTGCTGGGATTACAGGCATGAGCCACTACATCTGGCAAGGCTGCAGGATTTTACCTGTCTTGTGTGTCCAAGTGCTTCTATAGTGTTGGTCCCCCTCACCTCTGTCATGCCTTACATGAAACCTGCTGAACAGGTA